AAAATATCTAAATCAACACTTAATAAAATTATTCCAAATGCCTAAGTCGTAATAACTTCTCTGTTGATAATGCGGATAAAAATAATATTTGTTCTTCAAACATGGAATTTATTAATGAATCATCAGTAATTTTGTAAACTTTGTTTGATTTCTGTATTATTAGATTTGTTTTTGAACCCCAAAGTCTAGACTGGATTGATTATCACCTTGTACAGAGATTTACAAACAGTTATTACAATTTGAATTTTGTATTTTTTTTTTCTTATGATTTCATGAAAACTCCTACACATGAATTTCGTATAGAGATTTATAAAGACTTGAAAAATCTTGTTTTTAGTGAAATCGAAAAGTCCTTCATGACGAAATAGTAAATACTGACGCAATAGCATCAGTGCGGCCGTCAGAGGGTCAACATATTTTTATTAGATCACGCACTGATGAATATAATAGGAAAGCTTTCGAGATTCAATTTAGATTAGGATTTGAAATATTGTATCGTTTGTTGCGGGCTTTAAGCTCGTAGTAAAAAAACAAAACGAGTACAACACAACGAGTAAATACAAAACGGACAGTGAATAAACAGACACACATCAGCAACAGTAAAAACAACAACAACAACAATGAAACCGTAATGAAAGTAATATTCATGCTTTGCCCTTTGGTAGCTGCGGCGTTTCCTCAAGCGAGGTCGCGAAATTCAATTCCGATCAAAACTAGTTTCTTTACGAGCAAACTCGACTTGTTGCCTCCTCCTCCTCCACCTTCATCAATGCCTCCTTTTTTTTGTTGATAACAATTGGGATGCGCGCGATTCGGTTGTATCATCATCATCGTGATCATCATCAACCTCAGCATCATCATCATGAACGATGGGTGCGTCCGTTTTAGATTCCCGCCGCGCTGCGACCTTCATCTTGCGCGTTTCGTAACGTAATACTATTACGAAACCGAATGTTGCGGGCGCCCACGCAACTGCAATTATTCCAGCAGCGCGTGGCCGGCCCCGGCGATGATTCACATTCTTCCCCTCGATGTTCCTTCCACGTGTTTATATTCTTCATCCTCTTCTCTTCTCCACTATTTTTTATTTTTCGCTGCGTTTTCCTCGGTCGCAGGTTGCGCGGAAAAAGGGTCAAGACTACCTGTGGCTGCACATTTCACCGCCGCTTCCATTATGATCCGAGCCGGAGGCCTCACGCAAACTGGGTCACTAGGCCTCGTCAACATTGATCCTACAAACTTTGAACCTTGCGTCGCTCTCCATGGGAACACCAACAAAAAAAAATATACATCTAGTTCGAACGTTACGCCTAAATTTAGTCTCCCTCTTTCCTTTCCTATAAATAGAAACCCCCTCGCATTTCGTACGTTCCCATTTCTCACTGCGTTTTTTTTTGTTTTTCGTTAATTGCCACGATCATTTAGTAACGAAGACTTAACTTCCCTCCGGCACAAAAGAAAGTCGATACATAATCTTATTAAAATATGTTGTTAAATCTATACAGAAAAAAGAACATACTTTCATAAAGCAAATCGTGCATACAATATATAATCAGCTTACTTCACTCGTCTAATAGCTAATTCTAAGGCAATTAATTCAGGTAATTAAAACATGTAACTTACAAACATTGTCAGCATGTTTAAGTAAGTAACGACTATAAAACAATTAATATACGTAATTAAAACATGTAACTTAATAAGCTTATTAAAGTTATTTTAAAAAGTATAAGACAATTAATTAAAGTAACTAAAACATTTAACTTTACTTATAAACTCAATCAAAGTCATGTTAAAGTACCTCTGTAAATCAATAACAATTACACTGCAATTAATTTAGATTTAATCACAAAGAACAATACTTTTCTCTACTAACTTAATTAACATTTAAAAATTCCGTTAATTATATGAATAACTTTCTCATTCCATATGAACAGTTAAAATCTTTATACCATTAATTAAATTAAAGTTGTGGGTCAAACAAATAAAGTATACGGATTTAAAAGACCTTTAGTGCAAGTGACTAATACAAGATTAATCGGACACTTTTCCTTCTAGTTGATGAGATACATGGAAGAGTTAAACATCATTTCCAGAAGTCCAATCATTAAACGGGCGAAACTGGCACAGAGCAATTAATAGAATGGAACGTAACCTACGACCCGAACTGAAGCACAAAATGGTCGTAACTCACGCATCAGAAACACAAACAATCAATAAGTTTAGCAAGCAACAAAATTTTGATCTTCTAATCCAACATTTTCTTACCTAACTCAAAAATTATAGTTCTCGTTCGATGTTTTTTTTTTAACTAAATATTGGTTTTGGAAATACTGTATTTTTTTGTTGCATCGAAAAAGTTTTCGAACTTTTAACAGAGCTGTGCGAAAAGAATGCAGCTGATAATCTTAGAAAATTTAAAGAGACCTGAACAAATATTTGAAGGAATTATCTTATTCGATTGTGTGAACGCAGGAAAAACAAATAAAATTATATAAGATAAAAATGAAGAGGGACGATGGATGGAGTGCACTTGCGTTATGAGCGCATGCAACAGAAGAGCGTGTAATTTAATATTTACGTAATCCACAATTGAAAGTTGCTTCAAGTGAACTATATAGGCCGACACACTTTTATTATTTATTTATTTATTTTATATACACACTTTTCTTCTCTTTCTCTCTCTCTCGTTCAGTTTTTCGTACAGTTGCTTGTTGCATTCGTTCTCACCGTTTACACTCGGTGCGGTGTTTATTTAATAAATAGAGTGAATAGAGCGATGTGGAGTAACGCGCTTAATTGCGGTTTATTGAATTAATATTTTACGGATTATCGCATCGGGCGTTTCGAGGAATTTCCGCTGTGAAAGTCGATGAAAACGTAATTTATTTTTAAAGATTTCCTGCCGCCGTCGGTTTTCTTTTTCTGCTCGTCCGGTTTAGACTAATAAAACACACAACGCGCACATATTTCGACCGCATTTTGGTAGTTCTAATTGACGTATTGTTTCTAGATATGTTTCGGTAGCTTTGACTGCACGTCGGACGTAAGTCGAAATGGTCGTAAATTGAATTTAATTAAAAAGAGTAGACATCGAAGTTAATTATTCTATTAATTTTTTTCGTCGTAAATTGAGAAGTTGGTGTTCTATTTTTAATAATGAGTTCTGACAAAAATAATTAGTCTTTATTTTTTTAGGTATAAATCAATATCTGTCAAACACATTTAGACATAAATTGAATCATTTTGAATCATCTTTAAGAAGGTGTGATAACAAATCGAACGGTAAATTGTTACTGATTTATTTATCTAGAGACAACTCCTGTGTAGTCCCAAGTGCGAGTGTTACATAATCGTATCCGAACTGGTAACAACAATCCACGGAAACAACACGTCGACCGGATTTGGCATTGGGACAAAATGTATACGCTCGTGCTTCTTTTTGGCACATGTCGTTTGCGTGTAGGAAGCTGTGCGTGAATCAATTGTTTTGTTCTTTCTTTCGTCTTCTCATTCGTCTGTTTACTGTGTCATCGGGTGCGCGAGAGAAAGAGAAGGCAGCAAAACATTGAATCCGTCTTCGTTCTGCGCACGTCCAGCTGCTTTTCTCCAGCAAAACTCGTTTTCCTGTTTGAGGAGTGCGTCGAAAACGACGCGGTGGAAGGGGACGCCTCCTCCGTTTGCACTTTGCTATGTGCGTTGGAGTACATCGATGAAGAGGGGGTGGTGGGGGGTTTGGTTTACTGAAATATGCGCATGCCCGGAACCGGTCCCGCAGGCAGTGACGTCACTCGCATAAACAACGCCGACTTTTACGTAAAACCCAATAATTTCGATGTTGCTTATTGTTGTTATTGTATTGTTGTAAACGCGTGTGCGACCTCCAACGCAATGCATTAATAAAGAGAATTGAACACACAAAAAAAAACATTTAACTTCCCGCAGGATTACAATTCGAAATGCTTAATTTACTTAGGGCAATGATAACAGAATAGTCGAAACATGCACGGTCATTATGTAAAGATTTCCAGTATTGAACATTTCCGGAAACTTTGTATTGTCAAAACGGGTTGGATATAGTTTATAGTTCACATAGCAACCAAGTGTAATTAATTCGTTATCATACACACCAAATATTATATATTAAGTATAAAACTTTTCCAGAATCTTGCATTGTTAACAACTTGTTGAAACTTACTATTTCTTAATAATCTATAAATAATATTAATGGTTCACAGAGCAATTATGGTAGGAGCCGGAGCCGGTTATTAAGAAATTGCGATTATTTGCAGTAAAGCTAATTAGGTTATTAAATGAAAGAAAGAAATAGAGTTTATAAACAGTTGGAAAAGTGCGTATTTAATCGATTTGAAAGGAAACGCAATCCGGCAAAATTATATAGTATTCGAGCACGTTTGGTTTCGCGGAAAACACATCGAAGGTGTGTTGTAAAATACTTATCTAGTGTATGTGTATAATTATAACTTTGTACTATAAGTAAAAATTAAGTATCTGAAGCTTTTTATTGGCATATTCACTCTGAAAGTTCGTAAAATGATCATAAATTTATTCAGGATAAACTAATTTAATTTATAGTAAACTTTATTTGTAATCTATTATAGATTAAGATTTTTTCCATATACAAGATAATAATTATTGCTAACTAATTTCATTAAAATCCTTTTGGAATTAAAGTGTCAATAAAATAGGATCTAATAAAAATACAATTGAAAGGAACAACTTTTTGTTTTAAGATTTTAAAAGTAATTTTTAGTTATTATCACATTATATTTTGGCTTTTTCTTTTGATTTTTCAACTGGTTTTACGTAATACGTCAATTTCGTTTTTTATAAAAAAAAAATATTTTTTACAATATAGAATAAATATTATATAATAAAATTAATGGGTAAAATTCAAAGAGCCATCTTTGATGATGTTTCTATAAATTCCACTTTTAGGGTGCAAAATAAATAATTTTTGGATTGGATGTGAATGTGTTTACCTCGCAACCTGGTGGACAGATCCTGATGATGACGACGTCCGATTCCGGGTCGTGATACGAGACCTCGCCGGCCACCTCCCGATTGTTGTACGTGACGTAGGCCTTTTGGCCGGCAGCGAGTTGCGTTGCGATGACCGAATTGAAGCCGGGTCCGATGAGCTGAGTCTCCAGGAATTCGGTGACCCTCCGGCCCAGAAGTCCCTGCCTTATGTCGAAGCGCACCGAGTACCTGGTGAGCGGCGTCAGATTGATCGAGTTGTTCGTCTCCGGGAAACTTCCCGGTGTCTTTATCGACTGTATCACCCCCGAGTAATATTTGCCATCGTCGCCGGGAGCAGATACGCGCGTCCCGATGATGGACCTCTTCGCCAACCTCTTCCCCGTAGACATGATGATACTTTGTGTCTGTGTACGATGAAATCGAAGAATGTCCAAGAAATAGAACGCAACGAAACAATAATAGTGATAATAAAACAAAAGTTTTAATTAACTCAAGTCAAAGATGCGAATCGCAAACAACATGAGCGAACAGAAGGGAAGAACAACAAAAGTTTCACAGATAACAACCGGCAGCACGACTCGCGAATATTATCCACATCCTGTTCATCCTCATGATAATCTATCTGTTCTTCGGGATTCGATGTGAGAGTGTACAATAATATAGTATAGTAGCTTGTATAGTTTTGCTTGGAGTTGCCCAAAAGAAGAGCGCACTTAACTCTGAAGCGGTCGCTTACGGACTGATCGTTCGCCGGCCGGCACAGAGCTGGAACAGCTGATGCACACGAGACTTCTCTCTGTCGCTCCACCTGAGTCGAACCGAGACGGCACGATCCGGTGCGTTGCGAATCCCGGTTAGGACACAGCTGATGATAACAACAAAGCCACGTGACGCGAACGCAGCGATCCGATTGGTTAGGATGGATGACCTACATCCGCCCATTGGTCCTTTCGCCCGCGGTGGGGGTCCACAAAAGGTCACGAAACGCCGGCCATCTCTCGTGACGGAATTCCTCCACCGCCGCCACCGGTTCCACCTCCACCACCGAAGCCGCCTCCGTACAAACACACATACACTCTTTGCGTCACTCTCTTATCGACTCGATGGATGCACGCGTAATCAATTTGCGCGATTTTGCAACGCGCGGAGAAAGCAACGAAATGCAAATCCTTTCTGTTTTTTTTTTGTTCGTTCCAATTATTTATTTATTTTTTTCCAAATCATTTCTACACACTCCACTTGCGTTTGTTTCCTTTTTCTTTTCTTCGCCTGTTTCTGTTACCATCACCATTCCGAGTGAATGCAGTTCCCCTAATTAAGACCGGTGCGCGGCAACAATTATTGCTCGAAATCCCGCTAATTGCAATCAATTATGTATAGTTTTCGTTAATTGCTGCTCATGTGCTCTATTATATTTAATAGCTGCAACTTACCGGGTCAGAAGAATTTAAATTTATAAATAATGAATTTCGAATTTCTCTGTATTGTACATAAATATTTTAACTATGATTCAAGCATAGTTTGTAAGACTAACTATAATTGGATATTGAACATATACATTTTTTTTATGAATATGCCCCTATTTCTGCAAACAAATCCACCTCATAATTAAATAAATTAAAATTTATGGTATATATCAGGGGAAAAGAATTCAGGCATTGTATATAATGCCTTGAACATGTACAATAGAAAAAAATAGCAGGCATTGTGTGTGCAGAAGATATTTTCGTAAATTCAAATAAATTATATGTTCTTGCAGTTAGTGGAATTTTGTGAAGACCCTAATTTGTGGATATAGAAAAGGGCATTGTCTGGCGAATACCAAGGGCGGACAAATACGACCATGTCTGACTCCAACCATTTTTGTCGGGTATTAGAAGAAACATAAGGGCCGATGTTGTCATGATTGATGTCGGTTAAATGCAAAACTCTTATAGCATAACGGTTTTTATGTAACATTTGCGGAAGGTTGTTTGATATTTTTCATATATCTGCTAATTCACATGTCATGTAGTGCGGTTTATTCTCCATTAATGCCCTGTTTTCATTATTACTAGCTGAACTTTAAGATTAAAATCACTAGCTCTAAATTTAGCGAACTATGCTCTTAAAGTTGATTTAGCAACTTCTCCGTAAGCACAATATATCTTAGTTATTGCTTTACTAACATTTTTGGTTTTCCAGTAATAGAAAAGTATCAAAATGCACTTTGATTTCTTCTATCTTCAAGAGATTATTAAGCTGACACAAATCATTTGATCCGAACCAAACTTCTTTCTACAGATTGTTGAAATATCACCTTTCAGAATATATACCAGAAATTCATGCTTTTTAACACAACACAAGATAAATTAGTTATCCTTTTCGCCCTATATATAAAGTAAAGTAAGCCTAAATAGTTTATTTTTAGTAAATATAAATTATTTTAATAATCGTAAATTTAACTGAAAGTTGATGAATTTCAGGTATTATTAATATAATAATTACACCTAATAATCAATCTATTGTAATATAAATCTATAATTAATAAAATATACGTTTAGAATATTTGTTCTGAAGTAACAAACAATGATAATTAATATTTTAATCGTTTATCAAACATTATTAATTATTTTAGGTACACAATGGAACGCGGTCAAAGTGCAACTGTGCTTACACACATTACTATGTTTTTTTTTTGTTCAAATCATCAGTCACCGTAATCACAGTATCGCTCAAAATTCAATTTAGTAAATACGAGATAATGAATACAAGTTAATTTAGAATTTAGAAAAAAATATGTCAATCGATTTGATTAGGATAACTTTAATTGAAAAACAATCTGCTTAAAAAAAAATGTATGCAATCAATAAACATTTTACTTACAAAGATAGTTTATTTAAAAACTACTTAAAGTAGATTTAGTATCTGTGACGTAGATAAATCTCTAATGACAAATTGATATATTTAATTGCTTATTAATGCTCAAGACGCCAGTCAGTTGGTAATTATTAAGTGATTAAATGTGATTAACGCTAATTTTGGTTTTTCTTTTCTAACTTTAGAAGAAAAGAATATCGTTAAACGCAAATAACAAATTTACAGAAGTGATTTTCTTAATTATCCTCTTTATTTTCAACTCACTTCTCATATGTCTTTCTTATGCTTTGAAATGCTTTGTGCTTTCTTGTGCTTTATATATAAATAATTGAAAAAATATAATTAAATTTGATTTTATCTTAGAAATTGTTTAATAATTCTCACATTTAAATTGTTTTGAAATGCAATAAGTGTTATATTGGTAATTGCAGTTAACAATTCAATTCATCTTTCTTTTAAATTTGAAGCTTTAAATTTTGTTTAATCCATTTATCAATTGTCAAACTCGTTTGACAGACGTCACTTTTATAATACGTCAATCGCAAATTTACCACGCCACCTTTTGGTTTATTTCAGTAACATTCAATTTTAATTACTAATTAGTATATTTAACCTGTAATAGTTTCGAAAAGTACGAATCTCAGAGTTTAGCTGTTGTATGCACGTGATGTGATTCCATTTAAAAAAAAACGAAAATAATTTTATCGTTACAAAAAAAAGAACGCTCCTTTCAAAAACATTTTGCATTCAGTGCAGAAAACGAACAGAAAAATGGAATGCAATTTGGTTTTATATTAGATAAAAAAAAACAATAAATGAAATAATCCACTGACCATGTTTTCAGAAAATGCAGTAAAGTAGAAAACCGTAATCGCGCTGCATGTGTCGACAATTACAAAAAAAATTGCACATTAATTTTGCAATCGAACATAAAATAGTGTGCAGATAACGTGGGCGTTCTGATAGCAACCCGAAAATCGCCGATAAGAGCACATATGCAACGTATCTATCAAATGCATCGCACAATTTGCTCTCTGTGTACACTGTCTACGTACTTGCACACATATTATTAATAATAATAATTCGAATTTGCGGTTTATCTGGAATAATGGATGGAAATTAAAAGAATGGCTCGAAGATAAGGCAGATATCGTGAATTGCATTAACGACGATCATCGGATCAACGCATGTGGCTGAAACAAAAGGAATTTTTTGTTTCATACATTTCCATATGGTTTCTATTATACAATATTCATAGTTTTTCCATTCATTCATAGCTTACATTTTCATTCATAAATGTTTAATATCTGCTTTACTTGTGATTATTTACGTGTTATGTGAATCTATCTACGTTGCATCGCATTCACAATTTAAAACTTTAAGTCAACTCATTACGTTTAGTATAAAGTTATAAAACTTCCATAACTAGTTAGCAATATCATCAAAACTATAACTTTCTCTGCTATTTAGTAAACTCATTCAACGTTTACATTTTCATTCATCAATTATTTATGATTATTCACGTATGTGAATCTATCTCTGTTGCATCGCAATTTAAAACCATTTAAGTAAATTCATAGAGATTAGTATACAGTTTTAAAATACACATAGCTAATCAGCAATATCATCAAAAGTATGATCCACTTTAATGTCTAGTAAATGAGCGTTATTAATTGCAATTTTTCTAGTTTCTTTTCCAACCCATAATTAGAAACACAATTCTTATTAAAGTACTCGCATTATTGTCCTTGATTGAAACCGCACGCATGGCACAATTGTTATGTAATAGCAAGACATCATATTGATCTGAGTCTTTTAACAATGTGAAAAATACCATTTATTGCAATGGTTCACATAATCATCAGTCAAATACAATTAGATTACAATTGTCTGGTTCCATATAATGATTTTCAACAATGAAATACTTGCATTAAGTGCAGAATAGAACTTAATGTATTTTCAATATTTCTTTCAATTAGTTATTAGAATCTTACAGAAAGATTACTTTTATATCATTAAAAATATTTTATTTTATTATAGTTTTGTGAATATACAATATGAAGAGTTTAGTATAATTATTTTTCAATGCGTTTTATTAAATTATTTACTTGTAATTTTAAATATAGAAATTTTGTCGATTAATGCTAAAAATATGTGGAATAGATAAATTTGATAACATTGTTTGTACTTGTTATTCAGTTATAAATAGTTTAATAAAATTTGGAGCTTATTATAACAATGTATTATTATTTTGAGAATTCTAATAATTTTGTTACGATTTCGGTCATGTTGTTATAATGATGACGTTTTAAGTCACATTAAGTTGTTAAGTAAGAGGCGTAAATTAGATATTTGACCCTAGGCGCAAGATTTTCTTGATGCTGTAAAACGTGTGTGCTGATAGAGTTGTATAATATACAGGCAACTCACTGTCAAACTTGAAAAAAACGTTCTTTAAGTTTCGAAATAGTTTACATTTTTGTCTCTATCTCAAATAATATGAGCAACAAAATTAATTTGTGTGTCATTTTGACGTAATTCACTGTCAAACTTGACGTTTATTTAATCTTCAAAAAAGTAATGTCTTTACATTTTTGTTTATAGTTCAAATTTACTCATTTTATATTTACTCTATCAAACGACATAATTTACTGTCAAACTCCAATAAACGATTTTTAAGCTTAATGCAGTGTCTTTACATTTTTGCTTATATCTTGATAAGTACTTACGTAAAATTCATATTTGAACAATCAAATTAAAGCTAAATATTCACTCTTTTAAACTTTTGTATTGGTTATGTTCAAGCAATTGTAATTTAGTTGTAATTAATTGTCAAACACAAAGAAACGTTTTTTAAGCTTAGAAAAAGCAAGGTCTTCAGTTTTTTGCTTATATCTTAAAAAGTATACTCTTTGTATACTTTTTAAGATATAGACATTGCTTTTTCTAAGCTTAAAAAACATTTCTTTATATTGATGTTTGAGCAATCAAATTAAAGCTAAATATTCACTCGTACGTTTATCATTTAGACGTAAATCTCTGTCAAATTTGAAGAATCGTTTATTTAAGCTTCGAAAAAACAATGTCTTTACATTTTTGCTTATATCTTAAAAAGTATACTCTTTAAATTCATCTTTGAGCAACGAAATTAAAGCTACATATTTAGTCTTTAAAACGATATAATTCACTGTTATACTCGAATAAACGTTTTTTAAGCTCCGAAAAAGCAATTTCTTTACTTTTTTGCTTATATCTTAAAAAGTATACCCGTTAAATTCATTTTTGAGCAATCAAATTAAATATTCACTAGTACGTTTGTCAGTTAGAAGTAATTTTCTTTCAAACTTGAAAAAATTGCTTCTAAAATGCAGTTCTTTACGCTTTTGCTTATATCTTGACAAGTTCTTACGTCAAATTCATATTTGAACAATCAAATTGTAGCTAAATATTCACTCTTCAAAACTTTTGTATTTGTTTAGTTTAAGCAATTGTAATTTAGTCGTAATTAATTGTCAAACAAAAAGAAACGTTTATATAAGCTTATAGAAAGCAATGTCTTCAATTTTTTGCTTATATCTTAAAAAGTATATCCGTTAAATTCATTTTTGAATAACCAAATTAAAGCTAAATATTTACTCGTTAAAACGATTGTATTGGTTTTACCAATACTTCATTGTTAAAAATATAATAGAATAAAATTTAAGCAATAATTTAAAGGACTTTCAAACAATGCAATAAATCTTGAAAAATGGTACGAAGAGAGCTCAAATTATTTTTCAGGACATGAAGGTGGAATCAAGGTATTTTCAATCAACAAAATTAAAACTAAATGTATTTTATTCATAATAGCAAAAATCTATACAGCATATAATATATATGTATATAACGACACTCACACACACACACACACATAAACATAAACCAGCACAGAGTTCTCACTTGCCATCGACACACTCACTTTCTTATCCCAAAATGTAAATGATATATATTTATAATACTCTCGCACCATTTCCATAATGAATTTACTAATTAATAATTATTTCGTTTTTGGTCGTACAGTTTTTTTTTGATACCTCGAAACTCTTACACACCGAAAGAAAAGGAAACAAAACAAAAAAAAAAGAAAACCATGACAATGCGATGATACACGTACTACAATATAAATGATGATAAAGAAAATAATGTCATACATATGTTTGTTACTTCATTTATTTATTGTCTTGCCCTTCAATTTCAGGGGGGCTTGGGTAAATGGATACAATCAGTCAAAGTGAATGCGCGTGTGTGTGTGTGTTTATATGTGAGTGTTTTTCTTTGTGTATGTGTGTGTGAGTGAATGTCAGACGGACAATAAAAAATGTGTGGACGCGCGCTGCTCTTCCTTTGTTTATTCCTGCTGCCTCCTGTTGCTGCCGTTGTTCTTGTTGTTAAACACTAATTTTTAAATATATATATATATAGATTTTTTTTTTTGTTTTGTTTATGATATGCATTATAATATTTTTTGTTTTGTTGTCTCAATATTATTTCTTTATTCATCCACATATAATAATATACTTGCATCCTTTAAATCATACGCAATGCCTCGTTGATCCGGTACAATTGTACAGTTTTTTTTTCTTCTTCTTGTTGTTGTTGTTGTTGTTTAGCAACGTCGCGACGTAAAGCGGGTCACACCAAAGGTTTTCGCCAAAACAAAAAAATCAATGGAATGTAAACTGTACGATTGCATTACACAATATAATAAACAAATCAATTATAATAACAGTATGTACAAAATAAATATGAAAACAATGTTCATCGATAAACACTAAACGTTTCGTTATTTCTTTTGTTTTTGCGGATAACGCAAAGCACGGTCTTTTCTCGCAGGGTTTTCCTTCACGTTTTAATTAATAATTTTTTTTTTGTTGTAGTGTAAGTAGGTTTTTTTTTTTGGATTTTCATTTATAAAAGCAAGGAAAGCGTCTTCAACTATGTTCTCGTTAATCTATTTTTTTTTAAATTTTATTCTTCGCTAAAAAAAATCTTTTCAATCAATAATCCCTAATGAAGATCATCAACGAATCGTTATTGTTAATATTATTAATAATATTAGTATCTTTTGTTGTTGTAATCTATTAACCGTATAAAATCTTTGTCAACTAAGTTTCTTTTGTTTTTCTCATCTTCTTTACAATATTATGTTCTTTTTTCTTCTTCAATTAATTTAATTTACTCTTCACTTTAATAATAATAATAATAATTATATAATTTTATTTTATAGTTTTATGTTCATAAGCGTATTTTCAAACAAACGTCGTTTCAGTTATTTCAAATGTTTTCCCCGGTCTTGTGTGTTTTCTTTTGATAATCAATTGTTTTTTTTTGGGTGATTCGATCAAGCAAGCGTCCAGAACGTCAAATAAACGATGATGTTGCGATGATATCTCGTTTTTTTAAAAATTAATATTTGTGTTGTTAAGTAACAAATTCCGAATCCGAACCACAAATTGTCCCCACCCTATATTATTACAAAAAAAAACAATCCGACGTAGGCAACTCTAGTTGCGTCGATTTAGAATTTCCATGTTTTGTATTTCTTTTTTGAAATTGCAGACATTTCCCGCTTTACAAATATAATAACCATCAACGGGATTTCGCTTTACGAACTCCCGCTTTACGTAAGAACCGTATAAATTCGTAAAACGAGTGAAATAAATGAAATTAAAAAATGTCTCGCTTTACGAATAAAATAACCAACATCGAGTTTTCACTTTACGAATTCCTACTTTACGCAAGAACCATTTAAATGCGAGAAATACCTGCAATTATGAAATTAATTGATATTTCGACAAGTACATGGTGTTCAAGCAAACTTTAGCAAATAAAACAAAAAAAAACAATAACAAATTACGTGTTTCCTTCTTTTTTTTTTCGGTTTCTCATACGAATCCCATACGAATAAGCTTATTAAAATATCTCTCACACTGTATACATATCATCATATATATTAATACATATAAAATTATACCTTCATTCTTCATCTTGACTTGATTTCGTTTTGTGTCCGTTAGCAAAAATAAATTTTATATTATACTTTCTTTTCCGCTATATATTTTCAACAATGAACAAATGAACAGCGATTAGGAATCATTTCGTGTAGACGTGAGTTACATAAAAAACAATAAAAACAAGCAACATAAGACGATTGGCCTAAAAAACAAAAACTTATGCAGTTTCCTTATTCTTGTTTTCTCTTTTTATAATATTTCCCCTTTTATACAGTACATATTTATATATATCACATGCGAGTTCAATGATAAATTAGAACAGAGACGAAAAACCAAGAAACATTTTCCCCTCGTTTCTCAAATCGATAATTATGATTACATTTTTTTTGTTGTTGTTTCTTTACAATTGATACAATATTACTATTTATATATATTTATATCCTTCTTCATTTTTTTTTGTTTATACACGCCATCTAAATAAATATACTTCTTTTTTTTCGTAATATACTTATTATCAATTATATATATTTTTTTTTTTTTGATTTCTTATAATTTTTTTTCGAGTAAAAAAGCTTTATATTTATATAATCATATTTTTTTTTATCAATTCCAATTCAAGCAATTTTCTTGCCTTTTTTTTTCATTACATATATTTAAGATTTCGTTTTAGGGCGGGGATAAGTGTGACAACGCATCGATTGCTTTTGTTTTTTTTTGTTAAGTACTCTTACCCAATGAAACAAATTATATAATTATTTATACATACAAATATAATTATTTTAACATATAATTTTTTGTTTGTTTATTCTCCAAATATAACAATAAACTTCGATGCGTTGCAAATATTTATAATAATATTAATTTACTGTTTTTTTTTCTTCTTTTTTATTTCAACTGTTTTGTTTATGATAATGTGATTTCATTTTGTCTGTTTTCTAATGTGTGTGCGTTGATAAACTGTGTATTTTTTTTATATATTTTTTTTTACTTTCATTTTGTTTATTTTTAATTAAATTATTTTAGACATCATGCGTGTGTTGCCTGTCTCTCCCATGTCTTTTTTTTTTGTTTTGTTTTGTCATTTTATTACATAAAGATGTTTTGTTTTCTCGATTTTATTCGTTTTCACTACAAAATTCATTTCCGAATGTCCACTGTACTGTTTGTTCGTTTGTTTCATCCATCTGAATTATCTACCTTAAAATCTATAAAATAAAATTATGCACCATATTTTTCATTATATAATAATAATAATAGTATAATACTATATACGATATATCATCGTTATCATTTTCAATAACAATATTTTTTATTTTATATTTTTTTTTGGACTTTTTTTCCTTTCACTTTTCAGGGATTCCTTGCGTAATCTCGTATAATAATACTCCGATTCATACATAAAAATCGCATACTCCTTTCGTAGGGGATATAGTCTTAAGTATATTTTATGAATTTCATGTACAAGCGAAATGCGTTCATGCAATATTATGTTTGTATGTATGTATGTTTTTTTTTGCTTTTTGTTTTTTCCCTCAAACAACCTAGTTATTTCATTATTTTGTTAAATCGTCATCTTCTTCATCGAGTTGTTGCTCTTTTGCTTCTTCTTAGAAATCTAATCAACTGTCTTTAAGTATATAATATAATACAAGTAAATACACAATTCTCTTGAGTCGCAAACTGTCCTTGATCTGCCCATGTCCTTCTGGTCCAAAATCCATTCCTCAACCATATTCACTGAAAAAAAATGATAAAAAAAATAGCGTTAGAGTTTTCTGATTTCGTGTAAGTCTGATATGAGTTTTGATGCGATAGTGAAGAAAGCCAGAAGTTCACAAAAGAAAAGCCACTACGTAACAAAAAGAAGAAAAACACAGCATGTTGATGCAAAATAGCTTATGATAATTAGTAGCTTATTTATATAACTTTTGTTCCTTACTTTAATTCAATTGAGATTATTTTCTTTATAATTTCAAATACTTAATTAAGCTACTTATAATCACTTTTTATATAGGCACTTCCCGCTATAAGAATTTTGTGTATTCTCAATTTACGAATTTCAACGATTAGTATGAATTTTGTAGAAAATTCGGGAATTACCTTTATTGCAAATCCATTTGAAATTAGCTCGTTGTAATCATTCATTGTTTATTTTAAACATATTAATTAAACTTTTAATTAATGTTTATAACAAAGCCATTTCCTATGGAATTATAGTAGTAAAGCAATAGTGTTTTTTTTAAAGAAATATTTGGATTTTTAATATTGATTCGTGTTAAAGCTTAAAAGTGATAGCAACGCTTGAGAATTAAATTTTTAGAAGTAAAATTCAAAGTTGTAAATGTCAGGCAACAAAATAGAAATATGAATGGTTTGTTCACATCTATGTATTTTCGCTGCGTTTATTTTTGCAATCGCAATCGAAAGAAGCTGTTTGCTTCGAAATACCGAACGAATATTGGATTCGTTACGAGATAATCGACGCAGCGAACCTGCATAAATGTGAAATGCAGATGCGATCGATAAATGCATGTTTTCGTAATTCTTGATGATTTAGTGTTTAGTTTCATCGAGTTCGATCGCGTTCGTGTGAATAAGCTTGCACAAGACACAAAAAATACACCGAAAGCACATTAAGTATCGTATTGGTATTACGTAAGATCATACCTATTCTGTTCGTATGAGATTTTGGTCGTTGGCTGAAGAATAAAATTGCCCGCTGGTTGACCAACCAGAGATGGGGCGAGACGAAGAGAGAGAGAGAGAGGGGGGGCGAGGAAAATGGCTTGCGTTTGTTAGTAGTAGTAGTATTATTATTATTATTTTTGATGAAACGAAACACTGATGATGAGTGATGCAGCTGTGGATGGTGGTGGGGGCGAGGGAAGCGCACCAATCAAAGTGCCGCTCTTTGATTGGTTGATAAGTTGCTTGATTTTGCTAATTTTGAATATTTTTGTATTCTTTTGCTGCTGCTGTTGTTGTTGGATTGTAGTTGTTGAAGAATTGCAGTTACTGTTAATTTATATATATATATTATATATATATGATGTTTGGTGTTTAGAGCTTAAGGGAATCTAAACTAGCCATAGAACTTCTGCGCGATAGGCCGAGTGAAGGGGGACCACTAACCAGTGACGTGGTTCCGAATAATTTGTACCATCCTATGACGATGTTGCTTAAATTTAGATCATCTAACATTATTTGGGCCACACCCATGAACACTTTTTTGCCTTCTATGCGACCGTAATCTCCCCACACGGTCACCTGAAACAGAATAATAGTAGAGTTTTTGGTTTGATCGCATTCATAGCAATATGGTAATAGTAGTAGTTTAAGTACCTGAAGAACACAGCCTTGGAATTGTTCTCTAAATGCTAACTGTTGCTGATATAAAGGGTCTAAGGTCCGTCGCGCGGTCGTCGTCTTCGCCTTTGCGAGGCACTTCTTCCCGTTCACCAAATACACCTTCACGTACGGAGCTTTTCGTATGCAAATGAATGAAAAGCGTTAATACATTTTCGATCTATTTCTAAATTAAATAAACTGTATTTACCAGGAAGCGTCTTGGAGCCGGTCCTGGCCTGTAATCCGCGCGCTCTGATCACCTCCACCTCCAAGAATCCCTTCTGGTAGCAAAGAGACAACTGAATGTCGCCGAGGGCGGGCGCCCCCAGCACTTGCCGCCCCACCAATTGTCCGGGTCCCAATCCATCGATGAACTCTGCCAGTTGTCCTCCGTCGGCTAGCCGCAGCGAGGGCGACCATCTGGACCGCAACAAAGAACAAACAAATAAAACTGTCTTGAAACTGGCGTTCTGATGGAGGATCAGTAGAGAAAGAGTTGTCGGGGTAGTTTAGTTCCAAAAATAGAATAGAATAGAGTGGGTCATGACACATACAAAATAAAAACACGTACATAGAGAGAAATGTAGAAGTCTGTACTTTTCGGTTTCGGAACCACTAAATTAATCAATGATAGTAAATAAATAGAAAATCAATCAATCAAATGGAGATAAGAGTCAAGTCAAATGATAGTGATATAATAGTACAAGTGGTGGTTATAAAAGGGGTGACGCGGTACAAAAGACTCTGTGATTTAGTTAATCCACATTACCGTGCTCTCAGACGGTGCTAGGGTCAAATACATATTATACAAGCATGCTCTTCTCGTGTGGCGAAGGTAACTAGAAGCAAAACTAGAATAATCTATCCAATAAACCATGCGAGAGGCTACGATACATACCAGAGATAGATGAATATATTTATATATATTTATTTATGATCAAAAGCTTAATTATTGATTTAGTTTATTTTTTCTTTCTTTTCATAATATGTTATTGTTATATTTGTCATCCGCATGCTCCAATACCATAGAATTTACAATATATGTATAAATATTTATATAAATAACAAGAAAAACACCAATCATTCACTGATCCAAAACGAAAATGAGGAAAGGAAAACAAAGATGCGGTTCGTGGCGGGATAATAAAAGAAAATAATAGTTATAGATAAATACACGACAACGAAAGGAGGAGCAACGGGAACGACGATCTGATCGAGTTATTCATTCCACGGGCATATCGTCATTCACCCTCTTGACTGGACTTCGATTAAGATTTAACTTTGAGATGGACTTGTTTTCTGTATTCTTTTAAAGGTGACTTAGACACAGTGGGCGTTGGAGGGAATATGATGTTGGCGGATGAGGAAGGCTACTTACGACGATCCCTCTGAACTGGAGATCGAGTTCAGGCTGGCCGCTCGCTGGCTGGAATCTGTTGGTCTCTGCTGAGCAAACTGAGGTACCACCTCCTGTGACCTCTGAATCGACGGCGACGTCCGTTTTCTACCGTGTCCGGACTCTGTGTGTGGTTTTTGGGGGACAAGAAGGCGGACGTGCCATGTAAAAACGTTCACTCAGTCATAAATCAAAGAAAACAATTCGTCAAAGAACAAAACAAAACAAATCGAAAGCAACAATCCCTCCACAGATACATCTTCATCCCCAAAACCATCAGCATCAATACCATCACCATCGTCGACGTTCAGAGAATCAGGGCTGTAAATTAAATGCATGAAAAAAAAAACCAGCAACAACAAGCAGCGCAGATTATCACAAGATATTAAACACAAAACGAGAACAACGAATGGAAAATGATAAATATAAACAAACAACCAAATATAAGTAAAGAGTTTTTTCGGTTTTGCTCAACACTACATATGCGAACGAAATAAGAAATGATCTTATTATTATTATATATTTATTTTCTCTTCGTGAAACTTCAGTAAAAGCACTAAACCTACCAACCACGTAGATTTGATATGATTAGGAAGTTGTCCCGGGATCAGTGTGTGTCGATTTAAAATTTTAAATAAATCCCTCTGTTTTCCAACTATTCGACAACTAAATCTACAGAATGCATCCGCTACTTGATTAAAATAAATGAAACGTAAACAAATAAATAAGAAAACCCTGAATACTAACACAAATAAAAACAATAAAGAAAAATGAAAACCTAAGTAAAATGCTTTTCGAAGTAAACTAATTGCTTAGCGTTGTCTTACAAATGCAGTAACTAGAATCATCTCTCTATGTACCTAGAATGTTCGGAGTTCACATTTTAATTATCAATTTAAAAAAATAATTTCTTGTACGTCGGTTTTTATTTCGTATGTTCGCTGCCTTCATGGATAAGTGTTTTCTCTTTTTTTGCTTTTTTCTTAGTGGGAGGAGGATGAGGACTACTGGGAGGACGTAAGAAGATCGTGTCTCGTACATCGTCGAAGACATGATTTTCTTCGATGGTTCGGTTATGGATGCATGTGTTGTATGTGTTTTTGGATGCGAACCTATCACCATCCGCAGATAAGTCTCCGTCACTGGAGGCGGATGAACCCTGTTTGGATAGTCTTACATCCCCTGGCAACACCTCCTCTGATCGGTGAACCGTAAACGACGTTTTGCCCCTCCGGCCGAAGCCCATTCGCCGTTTTCGACCTGTTCATATTATATATCACACATTCAAAAGAATCTAACGGTGCGCACCACATAGAAATATCTAACTACCGATCATCGCTCCGTTACCAAATGCTTGGTCTACACCTAATTTACCTGTGGCCGACAGTTGGCTAGTTGAACTGCTCTTCTTGCTGAGCCCAACGAACTGGGCCTGTCTTTCCCTATCCCTGCTCGATTCCTTCCTCGACGTTTCTTTTTGCGGCACCTCAAGTCCATGGATCTGACCCACAGCCGTATCACTTAAACTGCCATCTACAGAAATTCATCATTGTTAATCGACATTTTATTCTTAGATAAAATACTCTAAAACCTAATGTATTACATAATTGTATGAGCAAAACATTTTTTAATTACTATTTGAAAATGTTTCAGAATAAATATTGATGGAATGTATTTTGGGTCTATTGATTGCTAGTTAAGTTACCAGTCTTTTCTTCCGCCGGCGTTTCGTTATTCGAGAGACTCCTAGTGAACTGCCCCCGTTTAACGCTACCATCTCGGTTTCTATTCCTGTGATTATTGTGTTGGTGAAGACGATCCTCCGAGTCCAAGGGTTCGACTCCGACGTCGTCGTTCCTTGTCCTCGTCCTGGCCGTCGACGACTTTCTAGTGTACGCAGCGCAGCGATCGTACTCGGAACTAGCGGGAAGAGAACTATCGTTACTACTACTAGCGCTACGTTTGAGGTACTCTTCGAGAGCTTGCTGGAGGCAATCTTCGAAGTTGTCCTCGTGCAGACTGCCCTCCACTTCATCTCGCAACTTGGCGATGACATTATTCAGGAGATCGGACGTCCACAGCGAGTTGGCGCGCTGCTCCTGCAGTCGCTGCAGGATCAACTGCTGCGCCTGCAGGAAGCGCTTGCCGTGGCCGTCCTGTATGTTTTGATCTAGGGTTTTCGGATAGGTTTCTAAATGGTTAGGACTTTTGCGGTTGGCGAACCTTAAAACGGCGTACAACTTATGAACACTGTGGCTAAACCTATTCGCGGGTTTCGTCGTCGTCAACGGCGGCTTAACTTCCGATGTCCTGCAGAACACAAAGAGAATGCACACATACACACACACGCGTGTGTGCATGTGTGTGTGCGCCAGTGCGTATGTGTGTTTGTGTGGGAAAACATGCAGACGTGCGATTTAATAAATGGAAAAGTCGAGTGGAGGAGGACGGCCTTGGCTGTAGTTGGTGGTGCGACAAAGGCAATCGATATTGATTATAAGACAATGGCCAAGCCAGGTGTGGAGGTGTGTTTGTGTGCCAGCGTGCCGCCTCACCTGATGGTCCTTGAACCTCTGGGCCGTTCGGATTGCGTCGAGAAGGAGCTGCTGGTGACGCTCCCCACCGACTCCATGTCGCTGTCAAAGTCCACCAGGCCCAGTGGATCCCTGTCCCTGTCCCGTTCCGGCGACAGCGATCTCCTCGTCCTCGTGTGTGTTGTGAGATCGCTATCGCTTAAGCCACTATACCTCCTTTCCCAATTCGAACCAGTGCTTCTATACGTGTGGACGTACCTATTAACAATACATATGCCATGTCCACTCCACTTCATAATAACATATCTTTATTGGCTAATGATACAATTATTTCCATTGTTTGAGAAGCAACAAGTATTGACTATTAGCGAAGTGACTATAAAACAAACAATCGTGACTCCAAAATACCACATGCAATTTATAGGGTTTACACCACACGTTCCACTTTTGATCAATTAATCACACGCAATTGGTTGCAACATTAATTTGTATATCTTTTACACGAAGGTTAATCGAAAGGTTCCCAATTTTTTTTTTTGCAATTTTCTCAAATAACATTTTCATCCAATTTAATAAAATAAGTTTCTTGATATTTTTGAAAAAAAATGAGCATAAACGAAAATATGAATTAACTTTGGTTTATTTGCAGTAATTACGATCAAAGACATTTGTAAATAAATTAAGAATATGAATTAATAATACTGACAGCTTTAGCGCTATATACCTTCATGACAGCAAAATTGAATATGGAGCGCGAATTATTCATCCAGAAAATAAATGATAGTATGACATAAAACTTTATAATGGCTGCAGTAAAACTTTCAGTTTTACTTTATACTTCATTTTGAGAACTTTTCAAGGGACCTTCGTATTCTACAATTACGATAATTGTGTGAGCTAAAGTATGCATGAAAAATGTAATGATATAAATGAGAGTTTTACCTCATCCTGTGTCCCCTGGACGACCTCTCCTCCAGATCCTGGGCGACGCGTTCCTGGAGGGCGCGCGCCAAAGCGTGCGGCACTTGGGGAAGCTGCCTCTTCTTCGGTGAACCGGTCGGTGTGGCCGTCGCCGATCTGGACTGGAAGCGGGAGGTATTGTATCCGGTTCCGGTAGTCGGTTGGTAATCGGGTCTCATGTCCGGTGGTGACAATGACCTGTGGTCGGTGACGGCGCGTCGCGGCGACTTCGACCGCGATCTGGACACATGGTGGACGCTGGGCGACTCGCACGGCGCCGCCGAATGCGACCTTTGACCTGCCATATTACTCTGAAACAAGCGCATATACATAAAAACACGATTAGATCTCTCGCCCTATTCCACGTTATCCTTTTGCACCTGCTGAATGAATCGTTGAACCGTTTACAAAGAAAATGTACTCGAATGGTATTAAGATAAGGGCGGATTTTCTTCATTCGCAACGGGCGAAATGTTAACACACCCGCACAACCGAGATTATTGGAAACATTTTGTTTTTTGGTCACGAACCACGTCAATTATGGAAGATTTATCGGGGAAGCCGGAAATTCCTAAAATACCCTGCGGCTTGTTGACAACGCCGAATTTATAGGTACAATAAACGAGTTCTAAGTAACCAAGTATCAAATAATATCAAAATCTAGATTTTACACACACATAACTATTAGTGTTTTATTTTATTTTTATGTAGCAAATATATATTTCTAAAAATAAAGATCAAAAATAGCCTTATTTGTCAAAACAGTTTTCCTTCAAACAAGTCAAAATAAACACGTTAGCAATGAACAAACGCCTGAATGAAAAGCAAGAATCATCAACTTCTAAACATGTGCTTGAGTTTTGCGATTCAATCAAACCCAATTTACCAATAGGTGCTCATACAAAGAACTTGCAGAAACATTTAGTAAAAAGACAAATTATGTTCGATTCTGCAGATTACGAGATGGCTAAACAAAAGGATTCAACGCAACACAATGTTAGCTAATTTGCTTATAAATTAGATAAGAATTATATTTGTAAATTAATTTTTATAGAATTGAAAATAAGCCTTTTGGCCAGCCTATTGATATATATTTTTATTATATGTTAACATTTATTTATGTATAAATTGTACTTTTTTTTCTTCTTCTTATGTATTAATGTTTAGCCAATAAATTATTATTATTATTATTGAAAATAAATTTTAAAAAAAAATCCATTTATTATAAAATCTTTCAATCGTTTGAAATATAAAAATATGAATTGTGAAATTGAATACAGTTTAACTATACTTTTCAATGTAAATAGAAACATTAAGTTGCTTCAATAGAAATAAGGCATCATTTATTATTTAATCAAAAAAGTTTATAATTATAAACCAAATTGTAAATTTCACGAATATTATTGCAATTCGCAAAATATTTTGTTTCTTTGTGCAAAAACAATGCGGTGTTAAATAATTTCAGAATTGAATTGAATTCGATATTAAACTCATCGTGTCGATCATCCGGTATATTATAGGATTTCAACAGTGCTATTGTTCACATGCATTCATTTATAATTTCCAAATGCAAATGAATTGTTATGTGAATATAATTTCAAAAAATATCGATTGAAACGTAACACAGTTTCGTTTATAACATTTATTGCTATTACAAACAATTTTTGTATAAATACCTAACATTCTTCAAACAAAAAAAAATAATGATATAAAATCTCGATATAATTCGCATATTTTTACTAAAAATTACATCACTATATTTAAAAAAAAATCAATTAATATTTAGGAATTATTTTTTATTACATATTACAAAAATAAATTAAATATTTAAATGTGTAAGTGTAAAAAAAAGTTATGGAAGACCTATGAACTATACGAAAGATTATACTATAGAATATTTTTTTTTAAATTTAAATAAATATAAAGTACAAATGTTGATCCACTCAAAAAAAGTTGTAAATAAAATTAATTAAAACTAAATTTATTATAATCATAATTAAAACTTATGAATATAAATATAAATCAATTTATTTATTTCCCTTCATAGAAAATATTGAAAAAAAAATATTGTTATTTAATCAATTAAAAGCTAATTTTCTTAATAAACTGGAAATTAAAAGTGAAGAAATTATAACTTTGATTAAAATATTTGAGAATGCGTCAAAATGCATTCAATTAATACAATGAATATGAACAAATAATTTCAACGAAATAAATTGATCGTCAGTTTTTTGTATGAAACTAATTGGTTTTATGAGAGACAACGTGTTTTTACACAATGGAAAGTTGTGGCAACTATTTTTGGTACAATTCTTCAATAATAGATAAAGCTAATGGATTTTTTACGTCAGGTGTCATCACTGTACCAAAATTGATTTCCAATACAAATCGTATGTAAACTTGTTGTGACTACACTATTACTAGCACTCTACTTACATGTGTCGTATTTGTTTTCGTAACGTATTTATGATTTCATTTTTTTTTCTTGTTTGTTTCGCGATTTTTCATTTTGTTTTATGTAAATTTACATTATATTTTTTTAGATTTGTGTAAGTACTGAAGCGTCGGTGATTTTGGTACTATTTGTTATTACCTTCATGTCATTATCATGCAATTAATCCGCCACGTGCTGTAGCCGCGCACCCACGTACACACATCCGCAGGATGCCGGTGTCTGCGCGCCAACAACGCTGCCTCCGCCACCACCGCCGATCGCCGGCTGTTTTTGACGCGGAGGAGACGCGTGAGCCACTGCCGCCGCCACCTCTACCTCCTCTCCTGCTCCTCCCTCCGCCACTGCAGGATGCGTACGATCCTGGATCGCGATGTAAGCACGAAACTTCTTCATCTCCATCATCCGGCAAGGACCCATTCAGCTGCGCTCGACCCATCCTCCCCCATGGAGGAAGGACTCCGATCGATGGGTTTTTGGATGTTCGCCAAGACTCCTCTATGGGGGGAAGGACGGAGGCGGTGGCGGCGGCTGTTGGCGGCAAGAAAACTCCCTCCGACGTCGCGGTTCTTTTGATTTATTATGTTGCGACAATCTTGGGATCAACTCGCGATCGCGTACGAAAATTAACTTTAAAACACTCTCCCGCAATCATTTAAAAATTGAACATTTTATTCACATTTCTTTAGTTTTTGCAATATAGTATATGACTTGAAATTGTTTCAATAAAATATCTATGCTATTATACTTATTTCAATGTTAATATTTTACATATATTATTTTTTAAATATTTATGCAATTATTAACCTATTTTGTCTTGCATTAACATAAACTTAATTATTATAACAGAAACAGATTTTCAATAAAAATCTTGTTTTTTAATTATTTTATATTTGATTATCCTACACTTTACTTTTTAAGCTATTTCAATATTAAATAAAGTAGAGTAAACTTTGTTGTATACATAACAAATACATATACTTTATTAAACTAATTTAATAATTTAGTCAAAGAAAACAAATATTTATTATTTTCAATTAACAATATAAATTTAGTTTAATTTTTTCTTGATACTTTTAATCAATAATGCATTTTTAGTAAATCGCACATAGATTCTAATTAATATAATAATATATTGATACAATAAGTTAAACTCTTATATTTCACTAGGTTTAATAATGTTTGAAATAATGAAGTTGTTTATAAATATAAAACGTTCACTTATTCAAAAAATCTAAGACACTGCAAATCTGATTTCATCTCCTGCGACCGTTTACGAACTTTTAATAACACTATTAATGCCTGCATCCCGTGTTCCGCAAACACCTCTCTTGGCAATCAACCAAAGCCATTTCGGACATCCCATATTACCTCAACACACTAAATACACCTCCAGTTACAAAGTCAAGTTTGCTAAAGCTTTTAACCAACTCCATTTCGGCTAATTTTCTCGTAATAGCAGTTTGGTCGCTATTAATTTAAAAAAAAAAACAAACATTTATGTTTCGGTCGATATTAAAGAACTTGTATATAAACTTTACATTTTTGATAAAAAAAAAAATTACTACGACAATAAAACACCTCAGAAAGATTCATAAAGTTCATTGGTCTTAAGTAAAAAGTTTCCAATCCATCATTTTGGATATATAGGAATTCCATTTATAATAGCACATAATGTAATTGCAACTAATTGCCATTGAAGTTCATTTTAAAGTAAAGAAGTTATCATTATATCATATTTCACGAATAATTCAAATGTGTTTATTATAATATCGATAAACTGTTTAAGGTGATTAGTAATTATTGAGAGTGAGAGAACAAAAATGTATTCAATAATTATTGGTTTGTGCATAAGTATTTTGTCTTTGTTCACTTAGAATCTAAACTGATTAGAAGTATAGTTTGCACTTACCCTTCGATATCCAGATTGCTGATGGTGATGATGATTGTTGTTGATGGGTGCAGAATGGTTAACATAGGACTGGTGCATGAGATCTTGGTCCCTCCTGGACCTCCGTTCCGTGTCTCTGGGTGGACTAGAAGAGCTGCCCACGCTGCTGACGCTCGCGCCGTCCGCCCCTCGTCGTTCGCGGCTGCCGTCGATCTCGCACTCCGACGGGGTGTCCGAGTCTGAAAATCTAGCGCTAAAAGTTAATACAAAAAATGAGATATAGCCAGAATTAAACGATGAAAGGATGAAGAGGTGGTCCAGTCACAGAAGACCTACCTCGATCCTGTGCTGGGCGGTGACAGATGTTCGCTTGGCGTGAGGGCGACGTCCTCGTGAGGTCCAAGGGTGCGCCAGGTCGGCTGCTCGTCCAGCGGCCACAGTTCGATGACGGTCTCACCCAGGAAGTCGTTCGCTCCGTACCTCACGTAATCCCAGACGGTGATCTCGAGAGCTCTCAATCTCAAATCGGTCCTCCGCAGACCAGAGTACACGAAAGTTTGATTCCACATCGGTTCCGTCGTCCCTTTAAACACGAACGAAAGGAACGCGACTTCAGCATCTTGGAACACAACCAAAACACATCCTCCTCCTGTTCCCCACACTAGGAACAAACCGTTCCAACCCTACCCCACATGTATAACAAACATAGGCCAAAAGATTTGGGGGGGGAGGGGGCGAACGGAGAGAAAAAAAAGAGAAGGAAAAGAAATTGAAAATTTGGTGCGTGGCGGCGTCCGGCTGGCGGCGTCGCGACGCCCGTCCTTAGACCGTGCGGCGTCTCTTTACACTCACTATCCCATGCCCCCCATTGGCATACAACCAAAGATACGTATTCATTTATATCCCGCATCGCTTTTTCCCTCGATCTCAACCACCCATTGATCATATACAAAGAAAAAAGAAACAAATATCCGCAAATTTTCCTACCCATTAATTTTTACATCCATATTATAATATCAGGTCAGCCTTCATCTCAAAACAAAAATTAAAGTTCATTCGGTGTCATTCAGAAAGAAAGTTCAAACAACTCTTGAAATAAAACTATTAGCATTAAATGTATGCACCTGAAACCATTTCATTATTTCTGAGTCTATATTACCCGGCACATCCACAATTTTTAAATTATCTTTCGTATAAAAAAAATCCGAGCATTCGTCAAATACCAAAACATTTTTTTCTCGTCAAACTATGACTGAACTTGAGTTTCGAAACCCTAAAATAACGAATGATACATTCATTGTATCATGACTTTGAGTTACTATACTATATACTATAATATCAATAACTAATTTATAGGAATTAACTTTTTTCTATGTACAACAAACCAATTTTATTTATAATATTAGCATATTGTTGTGATCTATGCGAGAAAATAAATATTATTATTTTAAAAACTTAAATATGTTTTCTACATTTCATAACACACGATCTAATGCGCGAATCAATAAATTATGATAGGCAACTTCTATATCTTACTGTTTTTTTACCATTAAAGCGAATGCTATACATGATTATGCATAAAAATCGAATACTATATTTCAGTTGGTTGAGAATATTGAAATCGCCAATTTATAAATAGGGTTAATCAATGTTTCTTTGAAATTACAGCAACGAAATATCCCTTACATTACGTATTTGGAATTGTCCCAAACAACAAATCAATTGCTATTTAATGAAAATAGTAGAATTGGCTATATGTTCTATAAATCTAGAACCCGATTTCTATTCCATGAACAATGCTATTCTTAAACTTTTATTTTCGAATGAAGATATTTTAAACCTTTAATTTTTGTATAATAATATATGTATTACCTGCTAAAGTTCTTGTTCTGCGTTTGCTCTTTTCCGATCTGTCTGGTAAGAGGAAGAGTTTGCAATAAGGATTGCGAGGTTGATGTGGTGATCTGGGTGTTAGACCAGCAGCGCAGACGATCGTCACAAGCAGCTGCAAGGTGGCAGGTTCGAAACCTAACCTGACCTGGACTCGACCTCCGACGCTGGGCGCCACCGTCGGCGCGGGTCTAGGTCTCTCAGGACTGCCAGGCGAAGTCACGAGGACGTGCGGCCTTTCGTATCCTTCTCCAATATCCGCAGGCCACTGGCTCTGGCCTGAAACCATGAACAAACGAAACTTAAGCCTTGCAGTGATCTTTCAGTGATTTAGAGATTTAGATTTAAACATTAAACCATTAATGATAATATTGTACAAAAAAAAAGAACAAGGAGTGAAGTTTCTTTTCGGTGGATAAAGTGGAAGGATACACATAAACATAGAGTTGTTGCTCCCACGATTTAATACAACATTACAAGAGATCGTTTTTCTTTTGCGGAAGTGAAAGGTTAACTGTTACACACGCACATTAGGAGAACTTGCTCACGGAAATCTTGCTCTTGCCATTTATCTAAAAGAGATATATTGAGACAAATTAAAAATACTTTCATTAGAATATTAATGCTAAAGTATTATATATATAAATAAAGATATTAGAAATAAAATATTATAAAAAAAAAACATCAAGTGTTTGTGTTTCGTAGCTTTCGTGTAAGTGTTATAGCGTGCATATTATAAAAGAAAGGTGTGTTTATGTGTATCACGCTAAGTCACTAATGGTTTAAAAACAAAAGAATGATTTAACAACGCATAGCCTTAGTTACTATAAGCCTTCTCTAATAGGCTGACGGTTCGAGGGGATGGCCTTAGTGGTTCCTCCCTCGCTTTATATTACTAATTATTTATTGGTTGTAACTAAACCGATTTTCGTTTGGTTCATTTAGGTGCGTTTTCATGTACCTCTTTGTGCCACGGACTGCCGCCAGGTGGCCTGAGCGGCCCTCCTGCTTCCCATACTTCTACTGACTATCAACTCCACGTTCGCTTCCTGCTTACTTTCCGCAATGATGTCAGATACCTCCTGGTAACTTTTGCCTTGCAACGGCCGTCCATTCCACTCAATGACCTCATCCCCTAAAAGCAAATTGGAGAACAAAAGAAGTTAGTCATTAAGTGTTCAAAATCCGTGTTCATCTGAAACTCACCGGGTCTGAGCTGGCCCTCCACGTCGGCAATGCTGCCCTTCTTCACCTTCTCGATGATGGCGCCACGTAGGCCTCCATCCAAGATCCTACCGCCGGCCACCTTCAGTCCGAGAATCGCCGCCCCCGATCCGGTATTGTCACGGCCCGCCGCCCCCCGTCTCAAAATCATGTGGCCAATCATCCGAGTGCCATCCGTTGACACTTGCCATGACAACGGATGCTGCACAAAGACAAACATCTTTCCAGAACTATCCGCAAGGGGGAAGCGCAGTGAACAAGATGGTGATTAAAACAGTTCTTTTAATCACCATCCGCCAGGCTTCTCCTATCGTTTTATTTCTTTCTTAATACAGTTTCCGCAAATTACGGCACATCGCGTTTAGTAAATACGAACTGACACGACTGTATTAAGTAAAAGAAACGACAATCATTTCAAGTTTGGATTGAAAATGCCAAGGAAACAACAAATAAAGTAAAAATAAAGCCATGCAACGGCGCCAATTAGAAGCATGCAATATCTACATATTTCTATCATCTTTCTTATAATTTTCCCACTTTCATTCCAATCGTACTTACACACTCTTCGATCCCTAAATGAATTTAAGTGCTGGGAAACGGCTCTACCCGAAAATCGAGTTGCGCGATCTATTGATCTCCGCCAATAGCGAAAACGGAATTACAACGAAACAACATTACATAATATTAGCATGTTGTAGTAGTAGTAGCGGCGGAATGTCCGTGTTTCGGTTCGATTTTCCTGAATTTCCGCGCGCGGCTGCCTTGCAACTAGATGAGATGTAATGACGCAATGGGAAACGGGGAGATACACATAGAGAGAGAGTGAGTTAGAGAAAACGGCGACTACTGAAATTGCTATTATCTAACCAAAATATCACATAATTTTCCTCTATCTTTATGTACTCATGTGTGTGTTGGTGTCTCTATGTCCGTGTATCTTGTGTCGTTACTTGTGTTCGTTACATTCTAAATAATTCAAAACAAACAACAATAAAAAAAAACGAAACAAATGAAACTCTCGTCGTCGTTCACTCTAGTTCGGGAAAACTCAATTATAAAGCAACTAACTCAAAGACATGCCATTTACTGTTTATTCGGGAATAATCCGAGCTATTTTCGTCCCGTCCGAATTAAGTTCGGTTTCAAATTTGCTTTGTGTGTGATTTGAAAGTTCATAGGAGAGGCAGATGCGAAAAAGGAGAAAATCGTTTCTGATTTATTTGCATGAAACCGGAAACACATTCAAATATATTAAATTACTTAATAACAAGATAATTTCAATTTTTTGAGACTTTACGAAATAATATTACCCGGCGCATCCACCAAATTATATCTCAGAAACTAAAATTTTATTTTAATTGATTAATTGGATCTTGAATTATGATTATTTTTCATAAAAAATGTATTTTTAATTATTTCTTATTATATATTAATTATTATTATCTACAAATTTAATTTAAAGAAAAATGTAAAATTATTAATTGTGTTTTAGATTAATTTTACTACACTTGTGCATTTTCTGGTAAGTAAACTATTCTAACTAATTTTTTACAATAACTAGTTACGTTTAACAAATTTATCTAATGTATGCAAATAACTTGTATTCTGTATTTGTTAGTTAATTTCCTCTCAAAGTTGTTTTGTAAATTAGTTTCAAATGGATTAAATAATACTAAAACTATTAAATATGATTGAAGACTGTTTAATTAATTTAATTACTGGCACTTGTAAATTTTTTCCATGTTCCATGCAATTGTCAGCAGAACGTTTTCCCCTTTTACATTTTGACTTTTGGTTTGGATCTTTTGAATGTAGTTGAAAATCAGAGGTGAGAAGGAGGGTCAAGTTCAAGATGATCGCACCTTGGGCGCGTCGCCTCTGGTGGAGTCTTCACTGGACGTGAATGTGGACGATGTATCAATACCGGAGTCCCTGTGCGAATCCTGAGATCCCTGCCGGTCCCAGGCCTGATGATCGAACCTGACCGTCTTCTTTCTCCTCTCGGTGAAGCCGCGGTTGTCCGCCGTCACGTCCTGCAGCGGACGCGGCGCCACAATGTACATCCACTCACCACCACCTAGTTCATCATCATCACAATCATCACATCACAGCATACTTACCCCCCCAAGAAACATTAATACAGGCATCATCATCATCATTGTTACAAGGGATTCGATTTCATTTGATATATTACTTTACTTTGCAAATGAGATTTCAGAATAAAAACAGATTATTGCAATTATTGGACCGATTCATTTTCTATTTGCCGACTTTAAAAAAAAAATGCTTTTCCACCCATTCCCAAAATCGAAAGACAACAGCGATCAACAATGATAAATAGAGAGATAGAAAAACAGAGCAGAGATCACAACATCAAAAAAAATAAACAAAAATAATGTAGGAAATTTTCATGCAACATCATCATCAGTTTCGTTCTCAATTCATCTGTTCTTTTTTTCTTATCTGTATACCACATTTACGTTATTCAGACAATGAAAAAAAACTGAACACAGATAGAAAGACCAACAAAAATAAAGGGAGAAAAAAAATACAAGACATCGTTTAACACATCAACAAGTTTGGAATCTCACCGCTAAAAACATTTTGATTTTCTCATCTAGTATCGCCTGACGACTCAATCTATCCGATATATTTTCGCGACACCCTGTAATGTTGGTTTAAATACGACCTTTAATGATTGCAATTACATGTCCTCTATAAGAATAAGTAAATTATATAATTGTTAATTAATATGTGTAAATGTTCAAAAAAATAAATCAAACCGGAATCGCGTTTTCATCATCATCTTGACTGGGAGCAACAACTTTTTTTTTTCTCTATTTTCTTTTCAGTTTGGGGGGTATGTTTTTTTTTGTTCGTTCGCTTGTATTTGTAGAAGAAAAAGACGAAGAGATGTGGGGTCCCCCGGGACTTACCTTTTTCGCTGTCGCGCTCGTCGCTTCCGTACTCTGGCGTTGATTTCAGGTCCTCTTCAGAGGACGAGAAAGATCGTTGTTGTTGGGGCTGCTGGTGCTTCTTTCCGGAACCGGAGCGTTTGTGTTTCTTGTTGGCGCTCGACGCCGTCGAAATCCGTTGGATGTCCATCGACATCGGTTCCTGGTCCTGATCCGTGTATCTAAAAGTCATTCTCAATTAGCATCCGATGGTTTATTTCCGCTTCCGGCTTTCAGATAGGGAGTGGGAGGTCGTTCTTACATCCTAGGCACTAGGTGGGGATGGGTGCGCATGAGCCCCTCCAGTTCTCCTTGGTAGAACCTGGGATCATCCTCGTTGTAAACGGTTTGGTAGCGTTCGCAGGAAGGCAACTTTGGGTCCTGCTCTGAGTACTGTCTTCGCAGGGTGCTTCCAGACCTCTGGAGCGGTTGGTTCTCCTTCTCGGCGGCGGAATGGGCTCTCTCCAGTTTCGGCCTCTTGTCCGATGGTGCCTGCTGGATCTGATGAGTGGGTATCTCCGTATCCATCGGGGCAGTTCCCACCATCCACTGCCCCGTCTTGCTGAGAAGCTCCTGTTTCTTTCTGCACAATATGCAGACCCAAACCACCTGCATCGCATACACAAAATGATCGTGAAATAATTCATTGCAAATTCAAATATTGCAATATTACAAAATAAAGCCTTTAAAATAAAATACGCATCAAGTTTAACAACAAGAAGAAACAAACAAATTTAGAAGCATTGCTCAAATATTATTAAATTACTAAACATAGAAATCCTTTTAGCAGGAAGTAGTTGCGAATCCGCAAAACGATTTACATAGAAATAAGCTGATTGTGTATATATTGAGATTATCCAAAAGTTTAGCTAGATAATCCAGAGACAATATTGTAGGTTTCATTCACATCCATTCCTTTAATATTTCACTTATTTAAAACGTATAGACAATTTCATTAATCAATCAATAAAATATTCTCAATCAATGTTTCATATACTGAATTTTTGAATGCAGTATTTGATTTATTCGAAATACGTCAATTGCAATTTCATCTTTCGAATTTCAATCAAACTTATTGCAACTTTATTTGAAGAGGTTTCCGTTTTTATAACTCTCATTAACTTCATCCCCCCAGCATAGTATGATCTATATTCATCCATAAATGAGTTTCTTCTGAATTATATATTTTTCATATTGATTTTATTGAAGGTTTCACAATATTTATTATCACGTGTATGTTTATTTGTTACATATAATATAATAATTTATGATAAAATAATTAAATTATTACAGTTATTAATATAATACTTTATTTGTTAAAATATAAATCTAACAAATACAGAATATGTATAAACTTATTTATACAATTTAACCTTCTTATTAAATATAATACATGCATTCTCATATTCACACAGTCTATTAATAATTTGAATCGAGAAAATTGTTAGTATTTTTTTTTAATACACAAACCAATATTAATTGAACTATTTCTACTTTATAGTACTACAATGAGTAACTAAATTGTGTTTACAGAGAGTATGATGAAACTATCAAACATCTAGTAACTTGTGCCGAAATAATGCAGAAATGATTAAATGAATAACAGACCAAAAACATAAGGAAATCTCGTCATTCTTTCTCAATATCAATTTGATTTAAAATTAATTGAATATATTTGAATAATACTTGAAATACGAATATGGTAAAAATCAACTCATAGCAAAAAAAATGATATTTTAAATATTAATATTATTTTATTAGTTCTTTTCGATAGAAAATAATAATTGTGGTTTTTATATAATTTATACTTCGTAACAGTTTAATATATATCTAGTTTTGAATTTGTAATATTTTTATGACACGTTGAGTTTGTCATAACAAAAGTAATGTAGAATGTATTGTTTATTTCGTATCACAACTTAGAAATGACTTAAGCTCATAAATGAACGTTAATCTTTAACGACGCTATACTTTTTCTTAAAGTTATTCAAACTTTACATTGGAGCCATCTTCAAGCTACTCAAATGTTTATCAATGTCTGCTTTTATAATAAACATAAGATGGAGTTGATCATTGTCAATAACTCAAATAAATGATTTTAAAATAATCAGAAAATATGTTTATGAATTATTTTAATTCTTTGGAGATTCTGGTAAGTATTGAATATAAATTAGTTGTAACTTTTTGACAAAATGTATCAAAAAGTTTATATATTTAATTAAATTATTTTTATAAACTATTTCTATATAAATTTAGATTCTGATTAAGTTTGTTCGCCTAATATGCATTAATTAAAATAATTATTCATTGTTGAGTCTAAAGTGCGTTTAAGCATTGTTTAATTGTTAACTTTATTCGTGTAGTTCGTACTGTTTCCATTATTCATATTTTACAATATCCTTGATATTGTCAAAATAGGCTTGATTACATTTAATTTACGGAAATGCCTTTTGATTGTGTAAACAATTGAGATTGAGGTGAGGTTGGTCAAAGGTTGAAGAGCGAAGAGAGTCATGGATGTCGTCTGTCTGTATGTTACCATGTCATTTATGTACGCCATGTAATTGTGGTGTGGTGTGACCGGTGGTGCCCATTGACGGGTTTCGCTGAGCCCGGGACGCGTGGGCTCCGCCGCCCCCGTGCCTCCAGCCCTCCAGGGCCGACGAAGGGACTGGAATTGACGGCAAGAAACAGCTGACGTCACAGGACGTGACGCGCCGTATTGATTCCCAAACACACACACACAACCACTTTGCAACTCACCCTTCACGCCACCTACACCCTGTATCTTGCTCTCTCTCTCACTCACTCATTCTATCTCTGACTCTCTCTCTCTCTCTTGCATTTGGTACAAACCCACCCACTCACTGTATATATACATCTATCTCGCCCTTTCCGCCGCCCCCGCGATCCTCGCCATTCCCTCCCACCCCTTTCATCGCTCAACCACTTCCTGATCCTGAACCAAACCCGAGGCCCCTTTTCTCTTGCCGCCCCCGTGGCCTGCCTCTCCTTTGAACTCGCATCATCCGTCGTCATCATCGTCGTACCCCCTCCGACACCATCATCGACACCACCACCACCGTTGGGCATACTCCACCTTCTTCAATCCCCAAATAAAAATAAAGCATTACTCCATTCACAAATTTCCTAATCTAATTCATTTAGCGGGAAAGAGAAAATAAGTAATCGAAAATATTAGTTTAAAAAAAATACGCTTCTCTTGCTCGCACTCGCAGCATCCTCAAGAGCGCGCTCAAAAATTAACCCTTCCGGTAACAAAGTTAAACCATCCAGAAATACATTAAAAATTTAAAAGCTTCGGTTTCGCTCACGTACATTATGCAACGCAGCCGACATTCACCCACAAACTATGCAAAAGCATTCATTTTTTTGACAAAACGTTCAAAAGAAGTTTTACGACAGGAATATAAAAATAAGAAAACATGTTAACACACTCTAAAAACTAAAATTACATTAAAATGAAAACATGACTATTATTTAAGTATGTCATGTAATTTTAACTATAGTTTCAAGTGTTTGTATGATTAAAAAACGATTTTTTTTTTAAACATTCAATACATCTTCATACACTCTTAATTATTTAAAAAAAAAATCTTTATTGCTATGAACCAAACCTCAATTGAGATTTTTCTGACTTATTTAAAAAAATATTTTAGAATTATAATCAAATTATTATAATTTGAAATACATTTATTTTATTGGCTTACTAAAAGACTGTTCATGTATATTTAATAGTCATACTGAAACTGTAACAATTTAGTTTTATCTTTATTTAGTACCTCTTTATTGATCTGCTACCAAATGGTTTATATAGTTCGTTGGATTATATCCAGAAGTTATATACAGTATTCCCATCGACACAGTTTTATAATTGCTTTCATCCTAATTCATGCATAAACAATTCATTTGACCAATCTCCATTTGATTACTTCAATTTCTATAATATTTCCTCAAAATATAAATATTTTATAACAATAGCCTTTGTTTTTCTTTATCTTTAGATCCAATTATATGAATCTTCGATTTAATAACTTCAAATTATCTAATATCCTTCAATATTTCGTAATATTACAAAGGTTAAAACCTTGCAATTTTATTAATTATAAACAATAAATGTGAATTGAGGTAGTGTTGATGTAAAAGCATTAAGTATTTCTTTTTTTGGATCATTTCTCTTCTGCCCTTTTTTTGTTTCCTCTTTGGCTTCGGATCGATTTCGTGTTTGGTTGGTTGCTGTTGACATTTGGTCCCCAGCTACTACAAGTATATACGGGTATATAGTGTATAAGTGACGGATCATTTCTTCGGGGACAAACAAGAGAACGAGGACGAAAAAGCTCTATGCAAATATATCGGATGGTCACTCACTCCATATGCATTTTTCAAAGTCAGTTTTTAGTAAGCTGATACCTTCTCTCAATTATTATATGTAGTTATCAAGTTTATATCATATATTAAAAATTTAGTATTATAATATTACATACTTATGTAATAAGTATTTTGTAGCTACGAGTATTTCGTTAATGCTTGATATAAAAGTAGCACATTTATGGTCTGGTCATGAAGTGAAGATTGAGACGAGATTAACTGCAAAGTAATTGCGGATTTGCAGACTGAAATAGATTTCGTATTACTCTCGTGATCTGGTTTTGAATTGGAGATTTCCTTTTGGTGCGTTCAAAAAGATAAATATGAGGAGATGCCACGTCACTTAATCCTATTGAAATCTACACAAACGGAACGTGAATGGAGCAGACTCGAAACACTATAATGGGATTGTCCTCGACCTACGACTACCCAAAATCTTATCGAAAACTAGCATCGACCCTACGAACATGTAACTCTGATATCTCAACTAAACAGTGGAATTTCGTATTGAAACAAAATAATGATAATAAGAATAATGAAGAAAGTTGAGTGTACCTTTGTAGATCGCAGCGTGACCTTTCCGCCGCATCGAGCGCAGCACCTGATGGAACAGTAATTGCACAAATGTCCGACGCCATCCGCAAACTTCGTCTTCAGGCAGATGTGACATGTGGCGTCCAGTTCGACACCGGCCTTCTTGTGCTGCTCGCTTCTCGCCCTTATGGAATCCTCCAATACTTGCACCTCGTCCGCCTTCCGCCTAAAACAAATAACAAAGTATAACGATTTATACGAAACTCACACAATTTTAAACTTTATACGAGAAAAAAAAACTCTCTTAGAATATCCCAATATAGATATAAGTTTACCAACTTTATACATAATAATAGAAATACTAGAGCAGAAAAACTTCTGTCTAAAGAACCAATAAATTTTGTAATTATTTTAACCAAAATTAGTAAAATTTAAAATATAAATAAAATTTAAAATATAAATTTATTTGATCATTTTAAATATATTTTGTCAGCATTAGACGGATTAGTGCAAGAATTGTAAGTCTTTTAATTAAAATATTTGTAAATATAATAATTGTTTTAAAAATCCTAAGATAATCTAACCTAAGTTAAGCAAGTACGCTAAAACCTAACCTAAAAATTCAATATTTATTATGTGTAGAATTAAATATATTGATAATGTAATTAATTAATATAAATAAATTCACGTGAACGATCAAAATAAGATTTAAAAGTAATCATTAAATAAATTGAGATACAATAAACATTGTTATTTTTCATCGAATTTTGTAATTTATGCATTAATGCGGTATATTTAGAATAAAGTTAATTTTACTTCGGTTTTGATGTTACACGAGGATATCGATTTTCGGGTGCGATTATGCAGACGGAAGCTGAATCTATAATTAGTGTATCCATGCCATTAGCAGATTTCTATATTCAGTGTATGAATATTAGTTTAAAGGCAAATCCGTTTTGATGATGATGACAATAACGGAATAGTCGGAATTATACTTGGATGATGATGAAGAAGGGAATAAGGAAGAGGGCTACTACATCAATCACGACCACTAAAGATCCGAACAATATATATATATACATTTTTATTTATGACCCGTCTCTGGGACTTAACAGAATTGCCGTCGGATTTCTTTCCTCCGGCACATTTATATAGAGAGCTGATCCTCCGGTTATATAACGAATCAAGAGGCAGTCGGTGTGGTGTGGCATGCATTCGCGCTGCCGGCGATGATGTCTCGAATGATGCGGTTTTTCTTCTTAGACGAACGAAACGTCGGTCATGAATACTAAAATCGCGGATGGACCGGGAAGAATACGAAGCAACATCGAATGAATAAGTTCGAAGTAACGAAAAGTTAAATGGCATTTTCTTAGTTAGTTCCGATTTCCTCAATGATTCAAGATCGTTTAGGAAAATTTTATATTTCCTAAACTTTTCACAAGGAGTTCGAACATTAATCGAAGCAATTGAATCATTCTCTTCACTATTTCACAAATCAAATATGTATCTAAGTAAGTTAAGCAAAATTTGACTCAATTGAATTTACAAACTGTATGTAGCTTGTATGAATAATCTTTAGATTTAGTAAAATAGAAACAATGTAAATATAAAACCTTGATAATACTCATATTTACAAAATATACATGAAAGAACTTCATTAGAAGAGAAAAACTTCCTTTCTTCCAATATCCCGTACTGATTGAAACCGGACTAATTGAAAACTTTAAAACTGTATATATAAAAAAAAGTCTTGACTGTGTCGATAATGAACGTATAAAAAATGAATTTGTTTACAATTTTCTTTGAAATTATTTTCGTATTTCTAAATTAAAATTTAGTTTGTTTTGAAATTTTCAAATCGTACTATAGTGAATCCGCTGTACTGCTGTACTATTAATTAGAAATTTATAAAGTTTGGAAGATTACTAATTGTAACAATCTAGTTTCATATTTATGAAAATAAATTTATACACAAATTATCATGTGAATTATTAAAATCATTTTCTTATCAATTAATCAATTATCAATTAACAGCAATAAGCTCATATTTAATATAAAATTGATTGACTGTAGTTTTCAATTTTTAAAAGATTAATAAATGTTATATTTTTGTATGATATTAATGATTCTATGCAATTTCTAATTTGTAGAATTATTTTTATAGAGAAAAAGTTTGTCTTCTTAATCCAGAGCTGTTTATAACGAGCGCACATATTTGATCAGCGCCTTCCATTACGTGCGCTGCTGCTCATCTATGATCGTCATGGGACTTGTAAATTATTCGAGCAAGGTGCTATCATATATCACAAAATTTGATCTGACATCCGGATGTTCCCAAATCCCACAAGCACGAACTTATAAATATCACCAAAAAAAAAAATTGAGTTCATTCATACAAAAATATCAAACAGAAAGAAGATAGTAGAATAAGAGGTTCAATTATACAATATTTTGATATTTTAGTAGTTATACAATAAAGTAAAGTGTTTTATTACATTTACCATTTAAAAAATAGCTAAAAATGAATTATATCCGTAGTTTCATCAACATCTAGTATTGGTACACATAAACGCAGTGATTATGTACCTTTACATATGTTTGAATCATAATTTGTAGGTCTAATACGATAATGTGACATCTATCATAATGATAACTAATATAAAACTGGTGTAATTGCAAAACTATTCAAACATTATGCGCTCCAAACTATTTATTCATTGTCCAACGGATATAATTCCGTACTATTTGGATAAATATAACTGGAGTCGGGGGAAGGCTGTCAGAAATACACTGGCAGAGCAGCACTGAATTGCGTTAGCATCTATTGTTGTCTAATTTGTGGGTCGCCGTAAATGATTCAAGTGCATTTCGGTAATTGTACGTTGCGCGAATGCTGGCGCATCTATTATTCAGCATCGAAAACAGAGTTACACAGTGCACCCATCCAAAAAAAAAGAAAGAACAATGATCGTCATCTTCTCTTTTTTTTTTATTGTTCTCTTTGTTTTCTGTCTTTCTCTGTTTGTAAATATATAATGATTGATCCATTTTTGGAGCGAAGTTATTTCTGTATTTCGCCGAGAAGGAATGCTGGTGGAGCGAAATCGATGGAGGGATTCGCCGATTCCTGCTCCCTTCTTTCGCACGTCCCCCAAATATAAACGCGTTATTAAAATATCGAGCAGACTTACACAATTTACTACTCGATCGTGATCACCTTCAGATGAATGCGTCCACATATTTTCTATTGGAAACGTACAAGAATATTGATGGTTGCATCATTTTAAACACAACTGAAATTTTACGAAATCTGTTCCGATTAAATATTTAAATTACATAAAGTAATTTAACTATAAAAAAATTAAAGAAAATTAAGTAAAAATTATCAAATTATCCATATTATAAGATGGTATTATATAATATAAAAAACACTCTTAATTTGAATTACATAATTTTCAAAAAAAATATCTTTGTTCATTAAATTAAATACATCAAAGCAACAAGTTAATGCTATTTTTAAATATTAATTCATATAAATGTTAATACCAAAGTTTTAAGTGTTTTATTAAATGACTCATCTCACGTAGATGATTTAGAAATATACTAAAGAAATTATTTAAGAAGCTATTAACGTGTTTATATCATTAAATATTGTTTCAGTATTTTTGTATCAACATCTGAAAATCTCTTATCCAAGTAGGAAATAGTGTTTAGGTGCCTAATATATATAAACTGAATCTTAAATTGGAGCTCATCTCAAAATAGAATATTTTATTTAAAAAAGTTAAAAACGTATTTATCTATGATACAAATTCATTCATAACATTGAAAAGTTAGTGCAAAAGCACATAACGTTTTCAGATTTTAGTCATTTTTTTTTGACATATCTCATAAGATGTCAATGACAATTAAACTAACTTGATAATTTTGCACTGTCATTGGAATCGAAAGAGTAATAGATTAAATTCTTATCAAAGATATAAACAAAATTACTAATTTGTAGTATTAAAGAAAATGTTACAATTTTGCCTTCTTTTCACCTTCAAATTAAGTTTAGAAACATCCACTCAAAAATTCTTAATATGTGTGATTATACAAAAAAGTATTTGAACATATGGCACATATTTGTCATTTTCCAAACCACTAAATGGAAAATAGATATTTCTAAGAATGTTTTAATCAGAATTCTAAGAAGAATTTATGATTCTTCAATTAACATCGGAAATAAGAGCAATTGAAACGAAATAGTAAATAATCACTGAACTTCGTATCATATTATCATGTAACATTAACTGTGTATTCTTATGTAACTTTGTAAAATTCTCATCCGTGCTTTACATATTTTCTAAAAATAGATTTTAATTAAGAAGTAATAAATAAAGTTTCTCTACTGAGATATAAGTTTTACATAAAGAAAAATCTAAAGTTTTGTATGCATTTTAGTGAAAATCAATACTGGCCATTGCAAATTCATTGAAGAGTTAGTGTTTACATATGTATTTAATGTATTATATACCAATTATTTTGATATAAATATATTATTATATTCTAATATTATAATCAACGAAAAGTATACATATTGCAGCGACTAGATCCGTAAATTTTATCTGCATCAAAACAAAATAATTGTAATTATTGAGTAATCAGTTCATATTTGATTGCGCTGAAACGTGTTGTATAATAGTGTTGATATGAAAAAAAATTACACATTATGTGTGACTTTGATAAGATATGTATTTATTTGAATAAAAGATCTAAATAACTACTAGGGGGGAAAAAGATGGGATATATGGTGGAAAATGATTGTTAGTGTCTCTGGCGACATATAAAAGATAATATGGCCGATGAATGGTAGGGATATGCGCGTGCCAAAATGTGTATCTGTGTGCGTGGGTGTGTGTGCGTGTGTTGAGGTGTCAGTGCATGAAAGAGGTGTGGGGATACCTCATGATCTCCTGTTCTCGTTCCTCCTCTTGCTTCTGTCTCATCATCACCGACTCGATGATGGCCCTCTCCTCGGCCGTGAGGTGCGACAGGTCCGGCCCTTCGTCCATGGTGCCGCCGCCTCCCCCGACCTCTCTATTCTATGCTACTGACGATCTCTCTCCGCTCCTAGGGGGTTGTTTCTGGTCGTGGTAGTAGTACCACACTAGTAACTATCACGCGCGACCCTCTAGGTTCCCGTACCCGTAGGGGTTCATGTCCGTATCACACCATCTCAGCAGCAGCCGCCTCCGCCGTCGGGTGGCTGTCAGATAAACACACACAGATTGATCCTAGTTGGCTTGCGGCGGCTCGCACACCTCGCGCAGCACACATATATACGTACATTCGCGTCGCGCCGCACTGCACGCACCAATATCATCAACTCGTTATCATCGCGAACGCACTTGAACTAAAGGGCCAGAAAGAGATAGAGAATGAAGATATATATATAAAATGAAGAAGACCGAAAGAATGCAGAAAGAAGAATCGAAGAACGGGGAAAAAGGACGTAGGACTAAAACCTAGGAGCGCAAACGGATTGTTGCAGATGTTGCGTGTATGCACGATTATTGTTCTCGATGACACCACCAGCAGCTTTTGATCGGGAGAGAAACCATCGTCGACTACGTCGGTGCGCGAGGATCTTCTTTAGCGTGCGTCTCCACTTGTCCGTCCCTGTACCCTCTGTATTTGTATACGTGTATCCTCTTCGCACGTCTTCACTGTGTTCACCGCTCCTCTTCGTCGTTGATGGTGGTGGAGGTGGTGTAGGATGATCAAGGGCTATTGCACACTGCACACCAGTTCGACCACTCTGAAACCGTCGGTGTTGGCCTTCGTCGAACCGCAAAACACCATCGCCATTGTCCGCGAGAGTGCGGGGCCAAATATCACAGTTCGCTGTTTATCCATTCATACGGGGGACTTAATAAATTATGGGATGAAAACGGGTCCGGCCAATCGGCGCCCACCGATTGAACGTTACGTCACCTACCCAACCGTCTATCGATCGGGTGGCGGCGCCGGGTCCATGCGCGACCGACGCCCGCCAACTTCAACTCATCCAAACCCACTACACCACATCCATCTCCATTTCCATGGACACCGCACCAACACGATCATATTCCTGATCCACTCCTATATCCATCATTGAACATAATCTCAATCAATTCTGCGCAAACCATCAATCCCAAATCTTTCATTGTCTACTTTAAATTTTACCTAAGATTGTCTGATTTTGTGAAGCATAGGGTGCACATTTTTATGATCTATTAGAAAATAAATTTGGTTGCGTCCAAAAAATTTCTACAATAAAAAATAATTTTAAAAATGAAATTTGAATAAAATAACTTTTTAGATAATTATCGGCAATAATAATTACATGAAATACTTAGTATAATAATGAAAGAAACAATTACATTAATTAATTGTCACTATTGGAAACGTCAAATTTATGTTAACACAATAATCTATATAAGTATAAAGAATTATATAAACTTACTCAGTGACAAAATATCCGTATTATATATGGACTATTATCGCTTATATCGTAATCTATTTATCATTTCTACCCAAGATACTTATTATATAATGCATATAATGCATTTTACCACGGATATTCGGCCACGCTACTTCTATTTTCAAAATATAAAAATAAATAAAACACAATCGAATTTTATAATCGGTAATGTGATTAATTGTTAATTTTATATAAAAAAAAAGTAACCACATCGACTACAAAAATGTCATAAAATATAAACGATAATAGTAGAATTCTCAACTAACGAGTGAAAATAATAAATACATTAGGAGTTAATCTATTTGAAAATGAAAATCGATTAAAACCTTTGCTTTGAATTTTCAAATTGGTTTCAATTAATAAAATGAAAGGTAAGCAAATTTAAATAACTTTCATTTAATGATTGTTGAAATTCTTATTTTAAATGATACAAAAAAATATGAAAGAGGATATATTAAAATAAAATGTAAAAGATTGTATTAAATAAATTTAATTTAGTGTTTTATTTTTATAAATTATTCGAACTTGTTATAAATATAAGTATTTACAAAATGAAGATGTTACGAAATATTATATAAACCGGAAACACTTCTGTTTGTCATGTGGTATTCGTGTCTTGAACAATATCGAATCGGCTCGATACTGCGTATTCATAAGGGGCATATACCCGAAGACCTGCAAGAGTAAGATTAACATTAGAGACAATTACTAGAAGAATTAATCATATAAAATAAAATATTTAGAAATCTCAATTACCTTCGAGAAAAAGTTGATGCACTTGTGTCTTTCCTGGAAATGCGTATCATCTTCACTCAAACTTTGCGGACACCCGGGACACCGGAAGGTCCAGCGCGAAGTAACTTTCACCGGGGGTTGCCTAGTCACGTGGCTCACCAAGAAGTTCATAGCAATATCTTCGCAGTTCATGTACTCGTCCACTTTGTCTCTGACAGCCTGCGGCAACCATTTCCAGTAAAGATGAAAATAGTGTCTGTGGAGGAACGCGGCTCCTGTTAGCACCATGCTTAGTTCGCAGCTGTAGTTCGAGTTGTACAACCAACTGTTTTGAGTATTAATGTCCCAGGCGTGGTATCTTCCCGGAAACCCGACAATCCTGTCGCGATGTTCTCTCCAAACTCTGAACCCAAACAGAATTTCGTCGTGTCTCAAATGCGCGTCATCGTCTACTGATAATATAGCCTCTGTCTGCAGATTATCTAAAGGTAAAAACCTGTTGTTCAAAGAGTTCCTTGCAGCTTTCACGATATGCAGCGGAGCTCCAATCTCGGGCCACCGAAGTTCCGCACTAGGGGGTTTCGGAGAGTTCCAAATCACAACCACTGAATTTAAATAGGGCAGACCTCTCAACCTCGCAATCGAATCCAACAACACCTGCTCTCTTTCATAAGTCAACAGCACCACTGTGAATTGTTCCCTCGGATTGTTACCGCCTAAAGATTCCGAGAATTCCTTTCCGGCACCACCTTGACCCTGTCCTATAGGTCGGAATCCGCGACCGGAACCATCAAATTTAGCATCGGAGGATAATAAAGGATCCATGGGTAAAGCCGGATATAATCTGAATGGATCTCCCCAGTCATTCCAAATTTCGTGTCCTTGCGTCAACATTAAACTATAGTTTCTACGAAACGCTGGGCTGTCGTAAGGAGGTTCCAGAGGCCCTAAACTCTCATCTTGCTCAGTATCCAATCCAACAATAACCTGGATCGGCTGGAATGTCTCGTTAAACACAGATGTTGCTGCGACAGTGTCAGCAGGTAACGGCGGTATATTCAATCTGTCTCTCAAAACTGCAACAACCGTATCCAATGAGCTCTGCACTGAACCCAAGTAACGTTCCCAGATTAATCTGCCCTGTCTCCTCATCAGCAGAATATCTGTATCCGGGATGGTTCTCAATAGAAAATGTAACTCGGTGACTCGAGCTCGAGGAAGGAATATGCACACTCGCCGCCATTGGATAACTTCGTCGTACGCCAATCTTACTTGATCACCTCCTAAGATCACAGGAATAGCACCCGAGCGCAATGCTTCGTAAATTCGAGCCTGAAGCAATGTCGTCGACACTAAATCCGAAGTTCCAGGACCGAAAATCAATGTAAACGTGGATTCTTTCAAGAAAGCCCTTCTGGAACTATCGGTGCCGCACAAACTCCAGTCCTGAGGACCTGCATGGAAGTTATCGTCGCTAGCCGGCACACATTCAAATTCGAAATAGAACTTATCCGACGTCGTACCCTTTGTCATATCTTTCAAATGTCCAACGATAAATTTATCCAAATCCGAATACTTAATTGATTTCTCAGACGTCTCCGCATCTCTGATCTTCTCTAAAGACATCGTCGGTTGTACTTTCATTTCCCCCTGGAAAGATAGAAGATAGTTCCGCCGCGCAGGCAGCATTCTTGAACACTCCTGCCAAACATCACCACCTGGTGGACCCAATACAGGCGAAACGATGAGATCAAAACCAGGCCTAAACAACATGTGCGAGAAAGTGGACTGCACTAAAATAGCCCTACCTACAGAAAATTACAAGTTAATAAATGTTGCATCTTCGCTATATTAAAAACTTACCAGTATCAATTGATGTAAAAACGTCTCCAGCCGAAGCAGAGAGATCGCGTCGCGGTAAATTTAACAAAACATGGTTCCTACCATCTCCACCCCAGAAAGGCAGTCTTTTTAAAGCTTTAGAATCCAGCGGTGGTAAATTCAAATGATTCCCAACATTTTCACTTACATCATCTGTGTCTTTAAGCGCTTCTCCAACTAATACCAGGAAAACGCAAGCCTCTTTTGGATTACCAGTTAAATGCGGATTGTATCCCAACACCTGCTTCAAAGTTGTTTTCAAAAATCCGTCCACATCCCAACCCTCGTTCATTACAGGATATTGATCTGGATCATACAGATACACAGGAAAACCAGAAGTCAAACTGCATCTAGAATGATCAAAGCATGAAAACATTCTGCAATGTGTAGATTTCAAAGCAGGTACTGGCAGATTGATTTCAGGGAGATTGTTTGGGACTAATCTATGAGGCAGTGCTAACTCTGGAGTGTTCTGCTGCAGTGCTTCTCTTTGGGCCACCTGTGCTTGCTCCACAGATATCTTCAATCTATTCAGTTCAGTTTGTTGATGCACCATTTCAGCTTTCAGTTGATCAATATTTTTTGTGTAGCTTTGTATTTCCAGCTGAAGCTTCTGTCTTTTAAACTCCATATCTCGCAATTCTGCTGATACAGACCCTTTGATCCTATACAAATCCTTAACATGAGATCCATAATTATTGAATGCAATCGACTCATCAGGTAAATCTAAATGGGAATGAGCACCATGTGTAATACCAGAATCCTTCTCCACATACCACAGGTTCATGTATGTCAGGAATGTCACTCCAACTAAGATGATTATCACCAAAAGCACAATTTTCCTCAACTTTATGTGGACCAACCATTGGCAGAAGTTGTGGTTACTTACTTCTATGTTGTTTACCATTTTCGCTTTTTTCTGCTTCCGTTCATAACCTCAAATTCGGTATTTGTAACGCATTTTATATTACGCTGCAGGATACAGATGGTAGTAAAGATATTTTAATAATCATTTCTTTATCTATACAATTCCAAGATTAGATTCATCCTTGTACTGATTCTGCAAATAATAAATTTTAGATTTAGAATATTATTTGCAAGAAGATATTATGAAAGAATTTATGTGATATTATGTATAAAATTAGTTAATTGTAACTTACCTTTGGTATTGTTATTATTCAATTTAAAACTGACAGGCATCCAGCGATCCGGGACCATGTCTCTTTGACAGATGATGTTCGAAACTTTTTTTGACAGGATTTAGCATCGATTGGTTAGGAATAACTCTTAAAGTTCATGGTTTCCTGTTACAGAACTCTTAAATTCCCCCCTTGACATTTGACGGAGTTGAATTTTCGACAGAATCTCAATGTTTTTGTCTGCTCTTGACAACCTACCATTTAAATTTGGTTGTCAGTTGTCACCTGGCGAACAACAATACACATCTTTGGGCATGGTCAGCATTGGTGCCAACATAAGGAATTCCCCAAATCATCAGATGCGAACCGAAGATAACCACTTTTGGTCCTAGCAAAATGTCAGTTGAATAAGGTTCAAAAATGCGAAAATAATGTGAATACGGTCTTGTTGATTTCCAATTATTAGGGTGAATTCGAATATTCAACAATGCACAAGACGGCGAGCGGCGAAGGCAGCGGAACTAACAAGGTGCCGGTCCTATTACAGAATCTCTGCAATTACTTCTCAAAACAAGATCAAGGTTTTTACACTAATAAATTTCAAATAATTACAAAATTATGTTCATTCTTGATCTCACCAATCTATTTTTTTTGCATTTCAGAATTATCCAGCAAATTGTACAAGTTATCAATAAGCTATCTATCAACATCTAGTCAGAACAATTTGAACAATGAGTGCGATGCACAGTATGTGGTTTCACAGATTCGCAAGCAGATCCAAAGCACACAATCGAGTGAGCAAATTGGAAGGTTTGATCATCTTTATGGAAAACTGCAGAAATCTGTAAATAATAATAAATGTTGCACAATTGGGCACAATTTTTAATGATATTTTCCATTTTAGACAGTGCTTAAACACCAGTCACAGGTACTTATTTTCCTTCTCAGTTTAAGTACGGGAAGCACTGAAACCAAAGTGAATCAATGGTCTCTTTTACAAGATATTCCAGAGCAGACCACACTTTCTGTATCTAAATCACAGATGAGTTTCTTGCCAGATGATCCTAAAGTTGGAGTGAAAAAACTTTACCAAGCCTCATCATTAGTTAAGAATGTATCTGCTCTATTCAATAGGACTCAAGTAATTATCTCAGCCAAAAGATTTTGATAAAAATATTTAACTAAATGTAATTTAGCTCTCATCAACTGGCTGGACTGGAAGTGAGCAGGATTTGTTGAAAACAAGTACCTCATCTTCAAGACAAACTTGTAAGTTACAGTATTATAACTCAAAATGGCAGTTAATAGAATTTGCTTGTAGTAATGACTGGTGTAACTGAATCTCAATTAATCCAAGAGGTTATATACTCATTTCAAGGAATCGAAGGGCGCGTTATTAGGAAAGAGTTGGATGGTCTGGGCTTTACAATAGATGCGAAATTGGGAAAGTCGTTAACTCCTATTCAGAAGGGACTCATTGAGCGACTTGTTGGCGTTGGTTTCTTGCACAATCAGTTGAAATTGCATTGCGATGAATCTGATAAACAGATCGGTTTAATCGGACAATCCTTAATTGCGATTTTACGTGACGAACTCACAAATTACTACCAATTAATCGCTTCGCTGCAAGCTCAAGTAAGTGATCCAACTTCGTGTAAATTCGGATAATGATGTTATATAATTCGTTTTCAGTCGAATAAGCAGGAGCTGACGCTGAGAAGAATGGTTGTATGGGTCGCCGAACCTCAGCTGCATCTGCAATGGTTAGCGTACATCGCAGAGCAATGCAGCGACAAAAAGGGTGGAGCTTTAATATCTGCTGTTCACGGTTTTCTACAGCATGGATCGACTTGCGTACAAAAGGTATATTATTATATCAAAAAATCCAAATAATTTAATATTATTGAATTTTTTAGCTGGCTGAAAAGGTGCTAACTGCAGTGTGTCGTCCTTTGTGCCTTATGCTATCAAAGTGGTTGCTTGATGGGGAACTTAATGATCCTTGTGCAGAATTCTTCATTGAAGCTAGAAGTATCAACACCGATGAACGTCTGTGGCATGACAAATATTTAGTTAGGTTAGTGATTTCTATCTGCAACTATGAACAAATATGTTATATGTATTTTCATATTTTAGAAAAGCAATGATCCCATCATTTATAAGTTTGGATCAAGCCACCAAAATACTAGCAACTGGTAAATCCATCAACTTCCTGAGACAAGTGTGCAAAGACAATGAGGAAATGCCTGGTAGAGACGCTTTACACAAATTGTTCACAAATACTTTCGGTACTTATACTTCTATATGACTTCATCAAATTTTAATTATTTCAATTGCAGCAAAGGCACTTTTCGCGCCGGAACAAAGCATAGAATTGCATACCGCTTTAGAACGCGTTTACCGTGAAACATCCCAAAGAGTTTTAGATTTGTTGAAGGATAATTACCGGCTTTTAGAGCATTTGCAATCCATGAGGCGTTACTTATTGCTTGGTCAAGGGGATTTCATACGACATCTGATGGAATTACTAGTGTAAGTATACTGAGAAAAATTAATTTGAGAAAAAAAAAATCTATTATTTATTTTCTTCAAGTCCAGAATTGTCGCAACCGGCGGCAAACCTCTATTTGCATACTCTATCTGCTATTCTGGAAACGGCTATTCGCGTCACGAACGCTCAGTACGAAGATGAGGATACTCTGCAGAGGCTTAATGTGAATTTACTGAGCATGGCAAAGGATGATAGCGGTTGGGACGTATTCATCTTGGGATACCATGCAAATGGACCAGTTGGTACAATTTTGCAACCAACTAATTCCATATACAAGTGCCTTTTTGGTGGTCTGTGGAAAGTCAAACGTATGGAGTTTGTATTATCGAATATGCGGAAGCAGCAGATTACGAGTAACAAACTATATAGAAATATTAAAGGTATTTGCTAAAATAGTAATAAAATCAATTATGACCTAATAAGTTAAAACTAACTTATAATTGCACAAATCTGCTATTTTTAGTTATAAATGTGATTTTGACAATAATATGTTTATATAGAAATGAAGCCAGTGACTCATGCAATCCACATATTGGCTAGTGAAATGATCCACTTCCTCCACCAAACCCAATACTACTTCCTATTCGAGGTTCTCGAATGTTCGTGGGCGGAGATGGTTAAACAGGTGAACCAAGCCGGTTCATTGGATGACGTGATCACCGCCCATAACACGTTTCTAAGTTCCGTCCAATCCGGTGTGTTGCTAGATTTAAATTCTGCGGTAAGATATTAAAATATTTCGAAATGTATAATAAAATAATATTATTTAATTTGCAGAATTTTAGGCTAGTGCTGGGCTTAATTTTTAATCAAATCCTAAGCTTGGAGAGCTTGCAAGAAACTTTGTACATGACTGCATCGAAAGCTAAAGAGCAGCATGAAGCCTACAAGAAAATCTGTTGTTCCAAGGATGGTTTCGGTGTAACCAAGGAGGAAGAGCAACAGTACAAGAAACAATTGTTAAACTTCCATCACTTCCTATCATCAACCCGGTCTCAAGTAATCCACTGGTCGACGATGTTCAGAGAGAACGTCGTCAAGTTCATCAAACTGCTTGCCGCAAGTTCGAACATGAACCTGCAACTCCTCAGCACCAGGCTGAACTTCAACGGATACTACACGATTGCATGACACGAAAGTGAAACTCGTGTACATGCAAGTAGCAGCGTAAAACCTCCGGACACTGTTAATCTACAAGAAGCATTGAGTAATTACACGAGCTACGGCAGTTTGAGCTCGCTAATCCCGAAACCGAAAAAGAAGAAAAATCGCGACAAAGTCATTTGATGTTGTGTAGGATGAGGGATTTTAATTTAATCTTAAATTCAATTCAATAACACACCCTCATCCTTTTGGTGCCATTTATCGTAATTATTAATTACAATTACCTTGCCTTCTGTTTAAAAAAAAAATACATACATGCGCTAGGTGAGAAACAAAATAATTATTTTCTGTACTAAATTATTATTCTAGACTTTATTATATAAAATAAAATATTGTTCCACTCAAATGGAATTGTTTTCAAATATATGTTGTATTAATTTAAGAATTTCTGAGCTACAATTTTACCATAGCCTCCCCTGCCAGAATCATAATCTGTTCTATATTCGTCACGTACTTGTCCACCAGTTTTACCTCTGCCATACTGTCTACCTTCAATGAATCCTGCGTCCCAATCAGTTCTCACTATTCTGTCATCCAAACGAGTTCCATTAACATATCTACAAAAATAATATATTGTTAGTCACTAATTAAAAAACAAATAACACTTACCTTAAACAGTTTTCAGCATCTTCTCTATTATAATATTCCACAAAGCAAAATCCACACGGCGTCTTCTTGTATTTATCTAATCCCATGATAATTCTTCTGACATCTCCACATCTAGTAAACAGTTCGTATATTTGTTCTTCTGTTGTGAAGAAAGACAAATTTCCCACATACAGTGTAGTGGTTAATCTCAAGAGTTTATCCTGCTCACCTCTACTACCCTGGAATAGTTAAAAATAAATGTATGCATTCAAAATATACACAATTATATTTACCTTAAAATGTTGGTCACGGTATGAACTCAGTTCAATTGATGGTGAAGACACTGAAGACATTTTTGAGAAATCTCCAATAACTTTTCAACACAAAAGTACAACTAATTCTCTAACACTACTCTTGTTTATAAACTATTGCAAACATGAACGTGAACATCACAATTCACAATTACCCACTGATACCAACTGTTAAATTGTCACCAACAGCAAAAAAAGAAACTCACATTTAAGATTTCTTTGAAAAATTCATCATGTATGAAAAAATTATATAAGGAATTTAGCTATAATAATCAATATTTGAATTACACACGTATTTAGCATTTATAATGTAATATTTAATTTTTAGAATTACAAAAATACAACCTGTTAATGGCATATTTGTAATATAATGATGATAATTTGAAATCTTCAAATTTTAGGAAAATTCTTGTATTTAGAACGATACAGTAATAAGTTTATTAAAATTGTAATAAATTCGGCGAAAAATATGTTTTTCATTGTCAATAATTGTCAATTGTCAAAAACATTACTAAACCTTTTTTTAATATATTATATTTATACGTTTTAAGATTGTCCACGTTTTTAAATCATTTATTTATATTATTATTATTGTATATATATCATAAATATATATATTCGTTGTTTTTATTGTACATTGCATCTGTTTAGTGGGTTAAATTAATTAAATAATGGATCTGGAATTGGACCCTTCATTGCAGAACATAATCGAGCAGTCCTCTTTGAAATGGATATTTGTTGGTGGCAAAGGAGGTGTGGGCAAAACTACATGCAGGTAAACTCATAATAGATATGATAATTGAATTTCTTTTATAAAACTTGTTATGAAATAGTTGCAGTTTAGCTGTTCAACTTTCGAAAGTACGGGACTCAGTTTTGATTATATCAACAGATCCTGCACACAACATCTCAGATGCATTTGATCAGAAGTTTTCCAAAGTGCCGACCAAGGTGACAGGTTTTGAGAACCTGTATGCAATGGAGATTGATCCGAATGTGGGCATGAATGAATTACCAATGGAATACTTTGAAGGAGACCAAGAGGCTGTGAGAGTGAGCAAGAACATTATCCAAGAGATAGTTGGCGCTTTCCCAGGGATAGATGAGGCCATGAGTTATGCAGAAGTTATGAAATTAGTCAAAAGCATGAATTTTTCTACAGTAGTCTTTGATACAGCGCCGACCGGTCACACGTTGAGACTGTTGTCATTCCCGCAAGTTGTCGAGAAAGGTCTGGGGAAGCTGCTGAAGCTCAAATTGAAGATCTCTCCATTCATCAATCAGATCAGCGGTTTGCTGGGATTAGCGGAATTCAACGTTGACAATTTTTCAAGTAAATTGGAGGAGATCCTAACGATCATCAAGCAAGTCAACGAGCAATTCAAAAATCCCGATCAAACGACCTTCGTGTGCGTATGCATAGCGGAATTCCTGAGTCTGTACGAGACGGAACGATTGGTCCAAGAGCTGACAAAATACAAGATAGACACGCATAACATTATTGTTAATCAGTTGTTGTTTTATAGAGACGGCCTAAGCTCGTGCACCATGTGTTCGGCCAGGTATAAAATACAAGAAAAATATTTAGATCAGATCAGTGATCTGTACGAGGACTTCCACGTTACCAAATTACCTCTGCTGGAGAAAGAGGTGAGAGGGGCGGAGAACGTTAAGGCGTTTTCTGAGAACCTAGTGAAACCGTATAAAGGCGACGGCCAATAAACATGTTTACGTATTATTTTTTTTGCTCGGAAATTTGAAATTATTCAACTTCCTAAAAGTTATTGAGTACATAATAAAGCGATGAAGGGTTTTTTTTTTGGTTATTGTTTTCGTTGTATTGTTTTGTATTTTCTTATTATTTTGTATCTATTCATTTAAGCCAAAACGCGTAATTAGTTTTTCTACTTTAAATTAACGTAGAAACCATTTAGGAACATTTATTTGTTTTAGACTTAATTACGATCTACTAGCCTGAACACGAAAACGGAAAAAGCCTATTGCTCGAATTGTTATACACATGAATACAAAAATTTGTACATTTATTTGTGTTGTAAATAAATGGAAACTGCATCACTTGCGAACAATTCTACATTTTTCTACTATTTTTTAGATTAACGTTTGGCGTCTAAAGAATCTTGAGCAACGCAACAAAACCAAACAAATAGACAAACGAACACCAATAAAGCTTATTTAAGTTATGTATATAACATTTTATTGCACTATACTGCAAAACTAAAGATATGTTACATCAATATTTTTGTACTGCATTAAAAATAGAATATTTTAGAATACGATTGCATTTTTTATTTATTGTAAATTATATAAAATCATTATAACATAGTTTATTAAATATTAGTAAACTATTATTTCAAAAATATTTCAATAATGAATTAAATTGTAGAAATAAAATACAATTTATTCACATTAGTTGCGTTAGTTGATTAAGCTACAAATAATTCTAATAATAATAGATTATCAAACAAAAAAATATGCATTAAATCTTTTTGAAATGCAGATGACTAAATGTTATGCAATTTTATTGCATACCTTTGAAATATGCTAATCAATAATTGTGATATCGGTTGCCTATACAATTGTTGTATTGAAAATAATTTTGGTAGCTGAAAGCTAAGTTGTTAGTGGAAGGTGATTGAGAAGAAGAATAAGAAGAAATCTGAAGCATAGTGGTCCAAAACACCCAAAAAGATACCCCGTTTCTTTATCAAACCACGCTTATAATTGCCCTCCTACTTGGAGTTTTCTACATACCAGGTAATAATTTACTAATCATAATAACGTAAGCCTTATTAAACGTATCAAATTTAGATAATGTTTGTACAACAGAATAACAATGATAGAGATATGAAACCAATCAAGAGAAAAGGTAATTATATTTTATATAAATAAAGTGGCATGGAGAGTGTATTTAAGTTGTATTTATGTAGATTGTTCCTTTTATTTCTCTTATTTTGTTTACTAAAAGCTTCTGAATTGTTGTGCAAGTAATAATTGTTCATGAAACTGAAAAGCAAAGAATTTCAATTAAATTATATGGACCAATTGGAGCCATATTTTTTTTGCTTCATTTCTTCAATGTAATATTTTTTCAGTTAAAATTAACTTTAATAGTTCACCAATAAAAATGTATCAATTATTAGGTAAAATGCTTATTTTGTTATGTTCCATTTATGTGATTATACCTTGTCGATGATGATTATTATTTGCATCTATATTCTTAACTTTTTGTAGAATCAAGTAGGTTTTATGAGTGTACATACAAAGAACAAATATTGATTACTATTCAACTTGTTTTATAGCATTACCAATACCTAAAATAATTAAGAAATTCTGTATGCCAAGCCAAGCGACGGTAAAATCAGGTAATCTTGATATTATAACACTGTCTTCTGTATTGATGTGGATTTTTGTTTGATTGTTTCTAGGTCTTCACAAGAAAATCGTTATCATACCTACTTTAAACATTACCGGTACGGATGTTTTGGGCCCGAAAGCATTGAAATTGTACCATGTATCGAATATGTTGACGGAAATGGCGAGACAAATGCGTTATGGGCATGTAAGGAACGTGGATAGAATCAAGGCGGCTATAGAGTATAGCAAAACTGAGGAGTTTTATAAGATTAGGGTAAATTCTGATATAGCCGCATACCTATGCAAATATCAGTCGAAAATGATAGGTTTACCTTCCGGAGGGAAAACCTATACAAGGGACGAGAAAATACTCGCATTATATTTAATTAAACTCAATCCGAGATCGTACCGACTGCTAAATATCATATACGATTTACCATCCAGGAAGAGTCTGTTGAAGGTTGTCGATTCGCTGCAGTATGCTTGTGGCATCAACGAGCTCGTATTGAGTAGTCTGCAAACCACAGTGCATGGTTTACCAACGATTGACAGACATTGCACATTGATGTTCGAGGAGATGCGATTGGAGGCATGCCTCACGTACAATAAAAACACGGACAGCATCGACGGATTTGTGAAGAGCATCCAACCTGATGATATTGGTTTTGCTGATCACGTCATGGTCTTCATGGCCAGAGGTCTTTCAGCCAATTGGATGCAACCGGTGGCGTATTTTTTCACGGAGAGACGGATGACTTCTGAAACCTTAGTGTTGCATCTGCGATCTACTATTATTACCTTAAGACATATTGGATTGAAAGTGGTGGCGACAGTTTGCGATCACATGAGGAGGAACGAAGATAGTATAAACGAATTGATGAAATCTACAGAAGATTACCATAAGTTGCATGGTATTGAGTACAAAGGCGAGGGATACATGATCGAAGATAATAGGGAATGCATCATTCCCATTTACGATCCGCCGTGTCTTCTCAAGAGCCTCAGGAACGATCTGATGAAGTACAATGTAAAATTTCATCGCAAAGGCTCAAACAGGATTGCATCTTGGGCTAATATCATCCACGTATACAAAGTTAACGGCGAGAAGTATAAGAAACTGATGTCGAAAATAAAAGCGAGGCACATTTTTGAGCAGAATGTTAAGGTGAAGGAGGCGGCCGAGTTATTTTCGCGCTTCGTTTCTGCCATCATGCGATATCTGGCGAACATCGGTATTATAGTTTTTCTTCGATTATGATGCTTATTATACATTTTTGTTGTTGTTTCAGTAGAATTTTTACCCAATTCGGCGATTGGAACGGCGGAATTCTTGATGTTTGGAAATGATTTGTTTGATAGCGTGAATAGTGCATATGTTAACCCAACGGTTTACGATACGCAGACACCTTCACTAAGGATGCCAATCAGTTCGGGTACAATGCATTGGAGTTTTTGGAAGGAGGCTACACAAGTATTGGAGTCAATTAAGTTCCTCACGGACGATGGGAAAGAACACAATAGTCGCACCGTATTGCATTGGCTGAAAACTCTAAAAGGCTTTGAAGCCGTTTGGCGGATAGTCAGTTCGAATGGATTCGAGAGTCTCATTGCTAGAAAATTAAACTTGGATTCTGTTGAACACTTCTTCGGGTGTATTCGGAGCCACGGCGATCACATTATCAATCCTACACCAAATGTTTTCGTTGCCTCCTTTAAAAGCTGTATTCTAAATAACGCAATTGCGGCAAAAACGCACATTCGAAGCGAAAAGGACAAAGAAAACACTCTAAACACCTTGACCAGTTTTATAACTGATGAGAACGAAGAGAAAACCATTCATTTACCTTTGTTAATTCTTCCTAGTTGCTTTGAATTCATGAGATCCACACCATTCCTCGTGAAAGAGAATATCATTGCGGCTCGCTTGATGGAAAAGAAAGCGTTGAGTATCGTTAGAAATTGCGGTAAATGCAGGAAATATTTACATTCCACTATTTGGGGAAACGAGAAGAAATCGCTCCTGGTGCATTCTACAAAATTCATGACGTTGTTCTTTCACTGCAAATCTATATTTGATTTTTTTATAGAAAAATACTGCAACAAGCCGTATTTGAAACGGATGTTAATCGATGTTACAACTAGAGAGACGAGAGAGAGATGCTTTTGTCCTCAGCACGACTTGGTTCAAATACTGATCGTAAAGTTTATCGAAAACTTTATTTACCTGTGGGTCAATAAATTGAACAAAATTTTAAACAACAAATTAAATGTGGATGAAAACGACGATTTTATATGTAAACTTGCATCAACTCGGTACGTATAAATCATAATTTCTTCACTAATTATTAAATGTATTTGTACATATATGTCTGACTAATATTAATGAAAAATGATTTATTTATATTTAGTATATTTCTATTTATTCAGTTAGATACGTGTAAAAATAATTACGGTTTTTAATCTTGCAGTTAAATTATACAAAAATTTAACAAATTTCAAAATTAAATATAGAAAATTATATCAAAGTAAGAAAAATTTTCATAATATAAAAACCGCAATTACTTTTACCCCTATCGAATACTATTAAAATATTATTTATATCAATTCAATGTCGATTATAAAGTTATAAATAAAATATTCATAAAAATGTATTCTTTTTTACACCTCAATACAGTAATATAATATTGAGTATTTTTGATACTCAGCTAATTCAATCAATGTGTGGCTATGCAACCAAACTAACATTTGAATAATCCCATATATATAATTTTGTTATGTACACTTTACATAACAAGATATGTAGCTGCTAACTTTTTGATACAAAAATAAACAAATATATAAATAAAGAATTTTAATTGATAAACCTTTTACTTGAAATAAAGTAGCAATTTCCATAATTATAATTAGGGGATTTGGTTTTCCTTGTGTTTATTGACTGATTGTCAATATATGCGCAACCAACGCAACTAACTTCAGGTGAGTTTTCTTTAGCATGTATTAAAGTGACAGTGATTTTATACATAAATGCGAACAAAACAATTTATAAGTGATTATTCTTAAAGAATAATGTGATAAACAATAACACAGAGAGTGTAGTATCAAGTTTATATAAAATGGAAGAGAAACCCAACATTGAAATAGTCTACATGGCTATATCTGCATTATACAACAATCCAAACAGTACAGAAAAAGAGAGAGCATCACATTGGTTAAGGAATTTTCAGAAATCTGTAAGTAAATATATTATAATTAATTATCTTACTATCTATAGGAGCAACGAAATTCTTTGATTCCTCCTTACTTTCATTGATTTTATGAGTTTAAATTTTTGTGTATATTTTGTTTATATTTCAATATGTTTTAATTATATTTAATTATTATTTTAGGTGCATGCTTGGACATTAGCTGATGAAATACTGCACCATAAGAAAGATTTGGAGTCATGTTATTTTGCAGCTCAGACTATGAGGTCAAAGATACACTATTATTTTCACGAGCTTCCAATTGAAGCTCATGGAAGTTTAAGAGACAGCCTGATGGATCACTTAAGTAAAATCACAGAGGGAACCAATTCCATTATTGTGACTCAGTTATGTTTGGCATTAACTGATTTAATATTGCAAATGTGTTCATGGGAACATGCAGTTTTAGATTTAATTAACAGATTTTCACAAAGCAATTTGTGGCCCTTACTTGAAATATTTATTGTTCTTCCAGAGGAGATTGAGAGTCGATCATTGAGGTTTGTTTTTACCATATTGTCTGCTGTGTGCATTTATTAAAATATGTGTATTTTTAATAGATTAGGTGAGAATAGGAGGCAACATGTTATGGATGATTTGAGGTCTTGTGCTCCCACAGTCAACAACTTCTTGAAGCATTGCTCGAATATGTATTGCAATAATTTGCATGATAATGTTCAGATAACTTCTAAGATTATTAGGTGTTATGCATCCTGGATATCAATAGAAGCTATTTCATTGGATGATGTGACAGATCATGTTGTTGTAACAAATTCATTGATGATACTCAGCTACAAACAAGAGAATGCTAAGTGCCTCCCTGTATCTAATACTCTACACGATGCTGCAACCAATGCGATTTGCACGTTGCTGAAACGACTGGAAGTCAACAACAATCAACAGAACATCGAGAGTTACTTGTGCAACCACATCTTGGAGCTTGAGGTGCCATATCATTTGAGCGTTGCAAATGAAGATATTGAGAAGTCGATGAACTATTGCCGCATTTTCACCGAGCTGGGTGAAACGTTCCTATGTAAAATCATTTATCAAACTACGGAGCAGTACCAGCATCAGGCGATCAAAGTCTTTGATTTGATTTTGATGTGCGTTGGGCATCATGACTATGAAGTTGCAGCAATAACATTCAATCTGTGGTTTTTGCTAAGCGAGGAATTGTGCCAGAAGAACAGCAAACTTCTGATCGAAATGTTTAGGCCGTATATAGAGAGATTGGTGACTGCACTGTGCAGACACTGCCAAATGGAACCGGACTTGGATGGACTGTTAGAAGATATGGACGATTTTAAAGATTTTAGAGGAAAAGTCTCAGAGTTGGTTAAAGACGTTGTCTTTATTATTGGAAGCGCGTCGTGCTTCCGATACATGTTCATGAATCTCCAAGGAAACAACGTTACCTGGGATATAACTGAATCTGCATTATTCATTATGCAAGCCGTTGCGAAGTATATTGTACCGTAAGTTATTCTACGATCCAGCGATTCAACAAGATTTATATTTAATTATTTTAATGAATTTCTAGGAATGAAAATGAAGTAGTTCCGAAGGTAGTCGAAGCAATTTTGAACATACCTCCGAGCACGCACATAGCAGTCCGTTATACGTCCGTGCTTCTGGTCGGAGAGTTGTGCGAATGGATCGAAAAACATCCTTCGACCCTTGACCCGATTCTGAACTTCTTAGTGAACTGTTTGTCCGAGCCAGGCATCGGTCCGGCCTCTGCAACCGCCATCCAGAACATTTGCGCGGCTTGCAATGAGCACATGTCCAGACATGTTCCGGTCATGTTGCAACTTTTAAGACAGGTTGATAGTTTTGCTATCACCAATGACGCTGTAATTGGTTTACTCAAGGTAATGACTGATTGCACACATCTGTATTATGGTATTATATATGTATTTTTTTTAAATTTTAGGGTGTTGCTGCAATCATTAGCAAGTGTGATTTGGATGAAGTGACGCCATCCTTAAGGGATCTTTGTTCGCTGCAAGTGAATCCTTTGAGCGAGTTAGTTGATAATAATATAGCGACTGTGCCTAAGACAAAGGCAGACCCAGTTTTATGGCTTGACAGATTATCGTCGATTTTTAGGAATCTGGTAATCCATGTTGATAACGGTAATTGCTGCGTTTATTTAAAAATTTCATTCGAAGAGTTAATCTAACTTTGGTTTTATATTACAGATGTGATAAATCCGTGCAAAGTGGTTGTGTTGGAAGTCTGGCCGGTCATGTCGAAAGTCCTCAACAAGTATGCAAGTGAGTTGCGTATAATGGAGAGGTCCTGTCGTACGGTCAGATTCATGTTACGTTGCGTTAGTCAGCAAGTGAAGGAACTGCTGGAAAGTCTAGTGGGCCAAAGTGTTTCCATATACGCGATGTATAAACATTCGTGCTTTTTATATTTAGGAAGTATATTGGTCGACGAATATGCAACTGACCCTACCTGCGTTCAAGGTTTATTGGACATGCTGGAGGCTTTTATAACGCCTACGTTTGAGTTATTGCAAGAGAAGGAAGGTCTAAGGAATCATCCGGAAACTGTAGATGATTTCTTCAGACTTTGCGCTCGTTTTCTGCAGAGATCGCCTGTACCCTTTCTACTCAGTCTGACTTTACCTCTGATCATACAGTGCGGCTTGATGTGTTGTTCATTGGACCACAAGGAGGCCAACATTTCCGTGATGAAGTTCTTCTTCGAAATCATCAACACGGGCAAGATTGCTCGCTCGCACGATGATTTCCCGCAGCGGAAGCAACTTGTCAACACGATAGTGTTGGAGTACGGACAGCAGTTGGTTGACAATTTGGTGCAGGCTAGCGTCTTCTCACTGCATCCCTACATGCTCTCCGAAGTGGCCGACGTTATTGTGGAACTCCTTAGATATAATAGGGATTTGTCAAGCGAATGGTTAGCCATCACTCTGCAGGGATTGCCGAAGGAAGGAACGGGTACTATCACGGTGAAACAACAACAATTGACGGATGTACACGCTTCCGTTGTAAAGTAAGTTTTCAAAATTTTCTATAAGATATAAAAAAAATATCTAAATAATAGATCTGTAATCAAATATTTCTCTCTGTTCCAGGTCAGATACATCTAAATCTGTAACGTACGCGCTGAAGGATCTGGCACGTCTATACCGATAGTAGAGTTATTGATTTGTTATGTACTTTTTTTTTGATGTATCTCACGGGTTTTATTTAAGAAAATAACTACGTTTCGATATACTCCACATGAAAACTGTGAGACGCGTAATCCATGGTTGGAAATCAAAAGTAACAGACATACACACACACACTTGTTTCATAATGTAAAAAGAATATTGTACAGAAACATATATAGTTTGTATTTGAAGTCTCAAAAACTAATAAAACGAAAGAAAATATTTTAATTATTTATATATATATAATATGGATTAACATATATATATGTTTTTTTCTTCTTTTGTTATGCAGACACGGTACACTGAGCAAATCAATTTTGTGTTCATTTTTGAAGATGAGAAAATCTAGTCCGAATCGTTGCAATGAATGAAGAAAATCCTCCGTACATTTACACAAATATTTATTTATCGAACTTTTTTCAGTTTTAACTTTTAATCGTAAATTTTTGTTTAGATATTACTGTATTTAACTAAAGACATAATTAAAAGTAACTTTATGAACTGAATCTCCAAGTATTAAAGTAGATTGCGAATTATTTTGTTTCAATATATTGAATTTATTATTTTCATTTAAAAAAATATATACAAACAGTAGTTGCATCTTTAGGTTGCAATTAAATTGTGAATAAGGTAAGACGAAATACAATTTTATAGACTTAAAGAATTTTCAGAGGAATTATTCAATATCACATAATTTTATACGCAAATTACAGGTCAAGAGGATGTTTAGATAACATTTATTTTGATGACTATACAAAGTAACTATGCTTCAAAAGTTAAGAGGTTGGAAGATTTGTTAAAATGCTCGGAATTTTTAAAAACATCCATGAACATCAAGTTGTGTTCGAGATTCGGATTTTTCAATAAAATATTCAAAACAATGATGACGGACAAATGAACATAAAAATAAATAACAAATTTATGAATAAAGTATATAGATTAGTAAATTAGTTTTCGTTAAGATAAATAGTTTTGACGTTACTTATAGCATAAAATTAATGAAAAGGATCAATTTTTAATTAATTTATTTTTTCGTTTAAATTAGTAATTAGGTAATTTTAAAATTTAGAAGTGATTTTAAAAAAAGTAAGATTTATAGAGCGCCTTTATTTTCTAAAAATATAAATAACAGTGATTACACATTTAAACGATATAAATATATATACTTTTATATTAAATAATACTATTCATATTTAAGTAAATTAGGAATTAAAAGTTTTAGTACGTACATGAATAATACTTCTGCAGAAGCAAATATAAACAATATTTATAATACAGATAGTAGTATAATTTGTTACCATATTATTGAAGCTTCCTTAAGGATTGGTGAATAAATACGTAAGTAACTCTGGAGAGCTCATCTCTTTCTTATACTTGTGCACAATCTCTTGCACTTTCAATCGCCTCCTGACGTGTGGTGGTTGGTAACTGGAAATTAAGACAACATATCAACTTGTTGCAAAGATATAGAATATTAAGATGCTTTACCTATCAGAGTCAAGTCGTCTTCTTCTAGACATATTTAAAGCAGTTTGTCGCACCAGAGGAGCAAGTGCTCTTCTACTCACAACCATTCCATCGATCAATGGACACGCCAGTCCCACGCGACTGGTTGGACCACGCAGATGCACTCTGATTAAGCCTGTAGCCATCAGGTAGAGACTGATCACTAATATATCAGATACTCTGGTTTGACCAGTCTCCAATCCAGTGTTCATACATTGAACCATATCGTCTAAGAAACGTGATTAATTGTTGTTATATGTGAAAAAAAATAAACAAAAATAAATACCCAATGGTAGTTTCATATAATCCTCGTAACTCTCAAGCCATACGACCATGATCTTCGTGTTGGTGTGCGGATGCAAATTGCATTTAACAGCAGGCCGTCTCAAAGGAACCGACTGCTTGTCCAGATCCAAAGACAGTATCCTTTTCTCCCTGCTCTTGTCATTGCTGTCTGAAAGATTCCTCTCAAACCAATCTGTCACATATACAAGTTATTTTTTTTAAAGTTATATTATTAAAATATTCGAATTGATTACTTGATAAGCTAGCCGTGTTGAGCATCGCATCCTCTTGAGAATTGCTGGGCAATTTGATCTGATGAGGGATGACAAAGGCAATTTCCGAGAAGGAATCCGCCCAATATATAACCTGATTCTGAAGATCGTACAATTGTCCCGCATTTGTTGTGGTTGCGTTAGCCTCATTAGTCACGTTCCAACTAGTGGATGCATGTCCAGTCCATCCTAAAAAAAATATCATTTCAAAATTATGATTAAATGTTTGACTTTTTTTAGGTACCTGGATGCTTGTTAACATTGACAGTCCAACCTAAGGACATGATGAACTTGATAAAGTACGGAGATAGATTCGAATCGTTCGTCACGTTAGCAATGATGTCTTGTAAACTGGTTTGCTGAGACTTCACGTAAAATAGGTGTACCGTGTCACAAGTTCTTGGGCTCATGTTATCCAGCAACTGGAGGTCTTTACAAAAATCCGAAGAAGTGTTGTCGATGGCAATCAGAGACATTCCGAAATCTTCCTGCTCCAGATACAGAGTTGTTATTTTTGGCGATAACAAAAATGATTTAAATTTACCTGTAGATTATCTTCGAAGTGCAACAGACCAAAATGGGAAAGAAAGAGACGCGACGTTTGAAATTCGTGGACTATCGATGGTATTGTGCATTCGGCTGGAGCGGATTGATCCTGCGATAATTTTTCTTCCGCGTTCGCACTGGATTCGAAATAGTCGCGTATTTGGTTGATCTCTTCAGTTGCAGTCTCATCCCCCAGTAAAATTGCATCCAAATTAGGAATCGATTGATCACTATAATCATCCAATTTCAGTTAATTTTTAAAAGATTTCTTATAACAAGATAAACTTACACTTTACACTTCGGTACTAATTCGGTGGTGTCGGGGAAGTACTTGTGCTTGGATTCGTGCTTAGGTGGTATATCTTCCATAACCACGGGTCTTCCCATATTTGGGGCATGATATTTCGTGCCGGATTTGTGCCTGGGCAGATGTCGCAGTTGCATGGTCCAAGCATGTCTTCCGAATGGTCCTCTGATTAAAAGAGTTATAGTTGGTTGAGGATCCTATAACATACCAATAACGTGTTTTTATATTAGTTAATTCGTAGTAATAACGTATACCTGATCATTTCCAAGTGGTTCTTCTAGCAACGCCAAAATGATGGAACCTTCAGCAACGAAGTATCGGAACCTCTCCACCGTCTTTTCTTGACTGTTGCAATCGTTCGGCCAAGAATTGCAATGTTGGAGAAGAGAGGCTTCATCCAATAATGAACTTATGGATTCCGGACCGCACTCGTTCGGAAAATAGCCGACTTGTTCCAAAATGTACGTGAGCAAATTCTCGGCTGCATCTCGAACTCTCATCGAAGCCGGCTTAAGGTCCTTATCCTCTTTCATCATGATCTTTTCGCTGCGTTTCTTAATAGATTTCGACCCGGAAATTCCCAATTCGGCTACCTCAAGAACCTATCAATATCAGGTAATATATTATAAATAAATCTTACTAATAATTAATTTAAATCAGTAGATGATTTACCGTTTGTAAACACTCTTTATCTTTAAGCAAATACGAGTGTTCCAAGAGCCAAATGGAACAACATTGGAATGCAGCAACAATGGTCGAATGCAGATCTTTTGAATGGGAAGGCGGTGGTCTCGAGCATTGATGTTCGATGTAATCGCACAGCCATCTCACTGCTCTCTTGCACTCCAAAGCATCTATTCACAACAAATATTAACATCTAAATATTAATACTGTATGGGAATAATTTCACCTGATTCTCTGATATGGATTCTGGCTAATCCTGATAGAAGTTCCAATGCTGCCAGAGAGACGTTCAGGTCTGTCTTCCAAGAAGAAATGAGCCGATGACACACGAGGTACGTGGCGCGAACGAAGAGAGCATGTGCCGAGTCTACAACGAACGAATCCGAATAATCAAGCATTGTCTTTCAGTTTGTAAGAGTCGAATCGAATGAAAATGAGGCATTAACATACCTGTTGCTTGAATTTCCAAGTCAGGACTTAGTAAGTGATCTGAATATGAGCTGCTTTTGGTACTTGATGTGTCCGACACTACAGTTTTAAATACAACACAAAATAAAAAAAAAATAAACAAAGCCAACCAACTCTAAAACAAAAGTGCGATCAGAGCAAAACATAGAAATGTTAAACGATACACACGACAATGGATATATACAAAAATATGAATTTCTGGGTGCCTCTGTGAATATAAATGAAAAATTCAATTAGAATTTGCTTTTTGCATCCAGAAACTTGAAATATCTCTTGCCTTAACACATTATATTTCTTGAAATGAAGAATTTTAATACCATATTGGTTAGGATTAACTAGAACAAGCACTCCATTTTTATCTGTATATGAAAGAAAATTGCGAATATTGTCAAGATAAAATAGAAGTACTGATTCATCGTCCAATAATCTTTAATTTCAATAATACGAAGTCGTGGAAGCGCTGCGGTGATTTCTCTCAGTGCATAAGAATGAAAAGCCAATATTTTGTACACCCAAGTTTCTCGTTCTCATCCATTAACATAGCGAAAGTCGAAAAGAAGTGCGGATTCCTTTCGCGCAAACACAAAACGTATAAAATAACACTGATATGAATGAACAAGAGACTTTTGCAACGGGGAAATATTACCGGAACTGAGGAGATTCGATGAAGATTCTGCGGATGGTTGGGTCACTTGTTCGATCTTCTCGTAAATCTCCGAATCCTGAACGCACAAAAACAAACCGCCGAGCAGCATGTGCGTGTTCTGCGGATCAGTCTCCACCTGTAAAGCGTTTATAACAAGGTTCATTATCCTCGGTTTCAATTGTCCGAAAGTCACTGGTTTTTCCTTATTATCTGAAAGTATAAATACAAAACATCAATCAACACATTCTCTTTTCCTGAGCAAAGCATGTAATTACTTGTGTTAATCAGTGTTTTAATTGTAATATTCTGAAAGTGTAGCGGAAGAGCTAGAATGGATAATAGTATTTGCACGGAAGATTTCCGGAGATCGATCTTGGCGATTCCCTGGGTTAAATTCAGGTCTTTATCGGGAAGGACCAGTTCCAATGCTCCGATGAAGGCCGGAATCAAGATCATGACACCGTCCAGGTCTAATCTGAAGAGATCCGCGGAATGAAGAAGGATTGCGACTATGGTTTCACCGCACTCCTTGCTCGCCGGGACGGCTAAACCTTGCTGCACGGCCAGATAAAAACGAGCCAAATACAAGGGGAATATCTTTTCTCCGGTCTTTTTCGAGCACATTATTCTACATAGGGTTCCCATGGCCTCTGCTTTACCGCTATTGTACTTATCGATGGACAGATTCGACGGGATGTCAAGCATTTCGTTCATCGATTCCATGGGTTGCGAATAGTTGAGATTTAGAGAAGTCTTTGTATTATCGATTATGATTGAATTGGGCCGTTTGCCACTTTCGTTGGCGTTCTCTGAAAAAATAAAACGTTGATTTTTGTTGATAGACCAATTATATTATACTGACTGTCCGTTAAATCGGATCCGACGAAAGCCGCTTGGAAAAGCCATTCTCCGAATAAATGTAAGATGCTATTACACGTTGGTCTATCTGGTGATAGCTGTATGCGTTGTTCATTGCCAATCGAAGTCAAAGCTATACGAATATAGATTAGTTTTAACAATAATTTGCGATTATAATAAAGTTACATGGTAAACTAGACGTTGATGATGGTCCTGAACTGGTGACAGAAGAGGTTGTTGCACGGATATTAAGTGAACCGATGAGAGAACTCCTAGAAGCGGCAGCTGCTCATGGAATATTTATATTAGTAATGATTTCATTGTTAATATAAATAGATGGTAACCTTTAGAACTGGAGGGAGCTACACTGAAACTCTTCGCTAAACGACGTTGCGTGGGAGGAGTCGGCGACGATGTGACGTTATCGTTAAACCTTTCAGTAATAGGAGGTTCCCAGACTTGCGCTATCCCTGAAAATGCGTTGCAATGTGCATTTGCTTGTTACCCAATTACCTAAACATGGAACATACCTAAAAAGGCATCAACCTGACTGGCGATTCCTTTCATAGCCTTCGAAAAAATTAACGGAAGTGCTTGCAAAGACGGATGTTGGCATGGATCAACGACGCCTTGCGTTCCGCTGATGGCGAATTGCAAGAATTTCTGCGTCTGACTGATGACTTCCGGTTTGGTCAGGTTCACCGGATTCCCGATTGTGTTCAGAAATCTATACCAACTCTGGGCGATGCAATCGTTCGTCATACCAGATGGAATGATGTCATCATCGCCTGCGAATTAATCAATACTGTACAGATTTCTACCAACTGGATACACGAAGCTTACTTATTTTCAGTTCAGGAAAATTCGGTCCGTACATGAAACCCAGCAGTTTCGAAGTCAGCGCAAGGTTGATGCGATTCCACTGTTCCACCAGGGCTACCCTGTGTCTCCAGTTCAGACAGTTCTCCCTCAAAGTCTTCCACAGCGGTGGAGTTGGAAAGTTGTTCGCGCAAGCCAACAGCCAGATTTCAAAGAGCACGCTTAGAATCCGTTCGCAAAGTTGATCGGCGACGTCATCTTTGACCGTCGGCGGCGAGAGCAGCGTATCGTTTATTGCCAGAAGGAAGAGCAGCAAGGCTTCCCACGTGGATTGATCCATGGACTTGGATTCGTGCGCTATCTGCTGTAAAGTTCTCAGCACCCGATGGCACAACACTGCCTGCCTATTAATCTTATCAATACCTACAACAGAAGAGGATAATGAAAGTGATGTCCATAGGAGAACAGTGTTGGTCTGAAGAAGTAAAGTTTACGTCAAACTGTGAATTGCCATACCCAGATTATCCTGATATAAAAAAGGCCAATCTTGTAAAAAGAATGTGCACATTAGTGAAAATACATGAACGGTGCAAATACAGATTAGCTGCGGACATACCTTCGCCCTTCCTCGGAATGAATAGGTAATGAAAGTGTAGAATCATCTTCCTGGCGTAGGTGTTTGGATCGTCGCAGATCGGTTTCGGCACGCAAACCTTGGGGATCGGTAGCAACGCCGAGAACCATTCGCGATAGATGTTCACGCAGTCCTTGATGACTTCGTGCTCCGATAATGGTAATGATAACCCATAGCATATTACCTCCATGCACCATTGCACTTCTTTATTAGATACTAATTTGCTCGGTTCTGCTGCCTGCGTTAAACCTAGATTGCTGGCCAGCAATTTGACTATGTTCAGGGTCGCATCCCGACTAACCGACGGCTCGAACCTATCCAAGACACTGTGGTCGATTGTGCCAAAATTTTGCACTAATCTGCTGAGAGAAGTCCATTCGGAATACATTCCCTTGTCTTCCTTATTTTCCTAAAAAGATCAATCATAATCCAGTAATCTAAATTTTAATAAGCTATAAATTAAAACATTTCATTTTTATCCCAAATAATATATACTAGTAATTATTAATTAATAAAATTACGAATTACATGGAAATTTTGAATTAAGCTCAATAAATATTATAGATATTAAAGCCAAAATACTAATAAATGAGATACATACATCAGAAAGCATATTCACTACTAATGGTATTACTGCCCACTAGATCATATTACAATTATTTTTTTCTTCATTAATAAACACATGAATAATTAAATTTCTAAAAAAATGAATAATGACTACAAGAGAAAGCCTATTAAAAATATTTCTATACATATTTTGTTAATAATGTTACAGCCTACTGCATATACACTTAATTTGTAAATACTTAATGCTAATATTGTATACTTCCTATTTACTATTTGATAGCTTACTTTTAAATTAACCCTATTGAAGAGACCCAAATTCATGGGTACTAGCGAATATTGGAAGGCTATATCGTTAATAAATAGAGTGAATATTTAAATATCACTGGTAAACACAGAAAACACTACATATTACACACAACAATTACGAAAGATACATTATTTTGACGCGTCGTGTTGACGTTTGTCAGATGTCTAGTTTGTCTTATTGGATATCTACATATACAAGCAGTGCATCTACAACTTTTCTTCAGTTGTTATAGTTTCAATTTTACTTAGAATATAAGAATTTTTATATTTGTATAATTGGAAAAAATACTATAAAACATATTAAAAGATCAATAATCAATAAAGAACTACATATTTTATAATAAATCATGTTATAAAATAACGTTAGATAGTTCCTATTTACTCCTGATCTTTTACAAATATTTTATTTCATCCTTACAAATTTGGCTTCATTTTTAATCTGTTAATGTATAGAAAATAGATGATCTTGATTAAATGTTGATGAGCACTGGTGTATACACTTCTCAATAGTATAGGCAACTTTTATATCAAAAGTCAATTTGTGACAGATGTCATGCACTTACCACTAGATTTATAATGTTTATAATAATTAGACTGTAATAATTGTTGTATCAAATATGTTTATAAATGATCCATGCGGTATATTTTGTATACTTTTCACTTACTTCTCCATAATATATGCGGACTATGTAGTAGTGAGATGGATAATCCTTCACACTATGGCTGAAAGGTATGGATTTTGTGTATAAATTGGATTAAGTGTCTAATTGGAAGGTTCGTTTCAGCATCTGGGGTGCTTTCAACGCAGTTTTATTCAATATAGTTATTTTACTCTTAAGTATATCACATTTCAAAGCTGTGGTGTGTGATCCTGGCAGTATACAGCTGCCACAGAGTAGGATAGACTTCTCAGACATCAACTTGGACTCAGGTTTGTTATTCCCAATCAATGAAATCAATTGCAACAGATCATGTGTGGTTTTCAGGAGGTGATAATGCTGATTGGACTATATGTACAAGATGTGAGACTTATCGTCCACCAAGAGCACATCATTGCAGAATATGTGAGAAGTGCATAAGGAGGATGGACCATCATTGTCCATGGATTAATAACTGTGTGGGCGAAAGGAATCAGAAATATTTTATACAATTTTTAATATATGTTGGTATGTCAGCTGATAGACAATTTTATGGCTCTGGAAATTGTGTTTTGGAATAACGAAATATCGCATGCATTTTGCAGGTATTTTAGCAGGGCATTCAATTATATTGATAATATTCGCATTGGTCAATTCTTGCGTTGACTGCGGCCTCGACGTTGTGGTGCAGCAGAGGATAGTGTAAGAGAGAACGTCCATCATATGAGCGGTTTTATTATTTTTTTTTTCATTTTTTTTTAGAACGCATTGTGTTATTTTGCTGTTGGAGAGCACGCTTTTCGGTATATTCTCGTCGGCGATTTTGTTCGTCCAGATTCAATCCATCATCTCAGATGAAACCTCCGTCGAGCAGGTCAAGAAGCAGGGTCCTTATCGACCTCACAAACCGAAAATGGCCTTACTAACAGAAGTCTGCGGTCGGCAACATCCAATAATGTGGTTGTTACCATGCAGTTCAACGCCTAAGAAATTTGATACTCCTCTCATTAACTATCATATCTAATAACAAATTTAACTATTTTTATACGAAATAGCTGGAGTTTTTTTACGTAAGTATTATTTGTTTATGTTGATTATTATTTATTGAAAACTACGGAGATTAAGATAAAGCAACGCATATTATTTATATAGTACACTTTATATAATAAAATACTTTAGTCATTTTTTTTGACAAGACTATTTTGCTTTTGTATTTTACTGTGCATTTACTTGTACCTTCTATATATATATATAAAATAATATGTAAAACTAACAGTTTTGCTGTGAAATAATTGCATGAATCGATTGAACGAATTTTATACTTGATATACAGATTTTCTAATTGAAAATTACGCATTTGCTAAATACTAATTATTATAAACTTAGACTCATGAAAGTTTTCTTAAATATTTTTTTTGAATAGATATGAATTAATGAAATATAATGTATACTCAATATAGTTTAATTATAAAAATGAATTTAAGTCACTAACTCAAAATATAATTTAAGTTTTATATGTGTGTACTTTTAGGAATGTAATTATCACAGGAATCGAATATTCACGTGTTTAAATTAAAATTGTAATTCTTATTTATTGTTATTAAAGTGTGCTCAAACCAAGATTTTCTTTGATATTTTTCGATTTACCTGCAAATATGATTACCAAAATTACCGGTAAATTAGAAGTGATTCATATACGATTCGACATTTAAATTCTCATTAAGAACTGGATCTGAATATTAAAAAAATGTGACTTGTCTGAATGGTTTTTCACTTATTTGGTATTTGTAATTACTAATTATTTCTTTCATAGAATTTTGTTTTGTTTTTTATTAAGTAAAATTAAAAATTGTTAATGTATTAATTTTTCATAAAACACAAGGTTTTCAATTAAAATTACCGGAAAACCGGTTTTTTATACTAAAAATATTGAAATTTGGATGCCCGTATTAGTACTTGATAATGAAAGTATACTTATATACAAATTAAGAACAAAACAATTTATTTCAAATTGCTATTAGTTCTAATTGCAGAGAATTGTAAGCTTTTCTTTGTTTATAAAATTGTTATTCATAATAATCCATGATACAAAAAGGAAAATAAATTTAAGTCTAATGTGAAAGTAAAAAATATAAGTTTATTTCATATATATTTCTTGAACCAAATAGTAAACAAATCGAGAATTAATCTGTAGGCAGATAAGGCTTAAGATGTGCTGGTGCTTTGCTTTTATCAAAAATTTGCTTTCTGACGCAGGTGACGAACGGCGGCAACGAACATTCGCACTTCAGCTCGATCCTCTCGTAATTGGATTTGATTTCGACCTCTTCGAATTTATCCCCCAAATTGAGACTCTCCCCGTGGAATTTGCATTTCAGAGATCCGCTTGGTTTCGTTGACTTCACGATCTTCTCCTTGCCGGTGCCTGAAAATGCGAACTTCAAAGATTCCAAAAACTCTTTCAGATCTTTCATGCATTACGTGGAATCCACTCGAAAGGGCAGCAGTGATCTTTGCCACCGTACACGGCCGCGTAATACTTTGAGATCTTGTCTCCGCTTCTAATTTCAGCACTGCAAGTGTCCTTGCGGCATATAGCTCCAAGATCGTCCTTGAATTTCTTATCGCAAACGCAAGTGGTGCATTTCTCCTTAGGATGATCGAATTTCTGACCCTCCAAGTACTCCTTTCCATCTACAACGCATTTGTGGAGATTCTTCGAATTCGCTGTAAACAAACAAAGCAAAACAAAAACACGATTGATGATAAAAGAACATGGAAAATGCAACTCACGGCAGATATTTCCAATTGCGCAGCACTTTCCTAGTTCGTACTTGAGACTGCAACCGGGCAATGGCCAACTTCCCAACCATTCTGGGCAATCCAGAATGGCGCAGCGGACCTTCGAGCTGTAACATAAACCTGCTGAATGTTATGTTCAAATTTTTGTTGATAATTTTGTTGTTACGTTCCGATGCAGGTGCAAGCCACGTTGCAGTCAGCGTAGGTTTCATCAGCCGGAAGGTTTTCGTGAGTGTTATATAATTTGCCATGGTACAAGCACTTTCCGTCCGGGACCTGTTCAAGATGAGAGCAATCATAGGATGAAGGACAGGTGGGGTGGGCGTCATCGAAAATCGGTTTACACTTTAGATCCTCGTAGATGAGGCTGTTCTTGTTGCAGGAATCACCTGAAACGTTAACCAATAGAGACAAAAAAAATAATGTTTACCATCTATCTGACCTTTAACACCAAAAGTAAGCAGCGATAACGCGGCAAAAATTGCCTTTATATAAACACTTTTAATTATCATTTCGTACTAAAAGAGTTCAACGCTAAATGAGCAACGCTGCGTTTGCCGATCATCTTTATATACTTACACAGCGTGCATTTTTTTTTACAAGCAGATAGTAACAGAATAATGAAATTAAAAATGCAGATACTTGCAATTAAAAATTGTTTTGCAAAAGAGAAGCAGTTATGGTGACTACGCCCCGGAATAATCATTTAAAAACGTTATTGTAGAGTTTGTATGTTTCTTTTTTCATAAAATATATTGTTTAAAAAACGTTTGATAACTATGCACCAAAGGGTTATTGACCTTAGGTCTTTCTGTCCGGATTTTGTATTTATTACTTGTAAATAACAAAATTACGTACATGCATAAGGATTTGCTGGATGACTTTAAAGAAAGAGGCTAAGGTATAATACGAGAATACAATGATTTATCAATAATTTTGTATTATTATCCTATTATTGTCTTTCTATTGAATCATTAATGTTATATTACTAAAGAGTGAAATATATCTAATGTTTTACAAAAGAATAAAAAATATAAAAAATATTCTAAGTTTATCTACGTACCTTTCATAACATTTTGTACAAAAATTTGGATATGTTAAAAAAGGGATCAATTGATTATATAAGGTATTAAATAAATAATGCTGTGTTTGCTTATAATGTTTATTTACAAACAATGTTAATTAATTAGTTTGAAATTTTCATGTTGTAAACATCGAATAAGTTACGTAAACCTCACTTGTTTTCTCGGTTTCTAAGATACAGGGTACATTGCTATGGTAACGCTAACAGATTCTGTTTACTTTACTCTTATACATATTCTTATTTTTTTGGTTTATTTCCATTATTTTTACGCTAAAGCTGTAACTCTTGAACGCTGATTCTGGGGGGATAAAGAGGAAGATAAAAAAGAGAGACAGCAGCGGAATAGGGAAAATAAATATAAATCTGTGCGGAGAACAAGAGAGTTCTTTCCCCTTTTATTTTCTCTTAAATTTAACATTTAAGAAAAAAACGCCGAAATAACAGGACGGGTCAGGAATGTAGGACGGTGTGTGCGCGTTATTATTTTTTTTTAAGTTTGTGCGAAATATAGTTTCGGATTAGTGAATTAAGTACACCCATTACAAATATCTCTCGAATACAGATCGAGAGTATACACATTCTACACATAATCATCACCATCATAGGGCTTGGTTCAAATCGATCGATGCTCACGATGATGATAACATCTTCTTCTCCTCCTTCTCACTGTTTCCAAATGTGATGTGGATTTGTACCAAGTGTATGATGCTGGGAAATTATCTGAAAAAAAAAAACAGAGCATAGAAACGGCTTAAGTAAGTAACGGTTCTTGTTTTTGTTGTTGTTGTTACTTTATGGCTTTGTTATGAGAACGAAAATGGTTTAATATTCATGGAAGGTTGCACAAATTCGGGCCTCGAACCAACTTTCGGGACATTATCTTCAACGCGGCAGACCGATCCTCATTATTCGGATCACGTAAGCCGCGCATTGTAAAATTTACCAAGTTGTTAATTAAAGTTCAAATAGGAACGCGCAGTTGAACATTCGCGCGTAAAAACAAATGGTCGGATATCATCAGGTCGAGTACATTGTGCGTCTGCTCCATTGATTTTAAATTACTATGTACTTAGCAAATGGAAATACTTTCGCAGCGTCGACTGTGAAATCTCTATCACAGTTTTCAAAGACCTTTAGGGCTTTTCATAATATACATGCTTCATTATTATAACACTCAAGTCTGCATTTTCAGAAAATACATATACTTGATGCATTTTGTAACTTATATAATATTATTTCTTATTACATTACTACGTTTATTAATTAACTAATATTAGATTCATCCAACGTCATTTCATTGTATACACATGTTAAAATTACGCAATCAATTGTTGATTGTTGTTATAAGAAACTTTATTACATAACTTTTTAAGTAAAATCTCGCTGAAAGTTAATATAGAAATCGCAGATTGAGCTGAAGAATGCAAATGTGTAATGTTGGTTGCCTATCTCAATAAATGTAAGTAAAGCTGAAACGTTCAAAATTTCATAGTTAAATTCAATGAAACTAATATTTATTAGTTACTTAATTACTTTAAATGCATCTAATAAAGTCCTACAATAATTGAAAATGAAAATACATAGTGAAATTCATTAAGTTAACTGAATTTGATATGCTCATCTTTGTATTTCCAATATTAATTATGTTTTCAAAAGCTTTTGTTGTAGAAGTTTGATGTAGTTTTGATTTTATCGATATCAAAGATTTTTTAATAAGTTTATTGTATTTGTTGATAAATAAGTTGTAAACAAGTTTTAATAAATTTAAATATAACCACCTTAGTTTTACATGTTGTAACTCTCGTGTTATTTGATCAAAAGATGAGACGTAGAATTAGACCATGAGTACAGTGGTTTCAATATGGTTTAAACTACATTCATTTATTTGTAATATATGAAAGTATTCAAGGACTTTGCAAAATTAGGTGCAACAGGTGCTGTTAGACACAGAACCTATGAGTGGGTATCTGTTACTACATTGGATTCAGCATATTTTCTGCATTTTCTATAATAAAAAGTAATCCTGTATGATTTTATTCTTAAATTACTTAAATCCTTGTAAATAATACTTTTTGTACAAAGATGATCCACAGATTCGATCAAATTTTTAAATTAGTAATATTTTCTAAAATCTAATAAAATGAAAATGAAAACAAGTAAGCGAAATCAAATTGATTAAATATAACGAAATTGAACTAACAAAAAAAATACAAATTCGAATTCGTTTTCCATTTCGTTCATCTGCACAGCTTGTTCAACACTAGTTCAATTCGGGTTGACGATCGAAAGCACTTTGTTTCCGGCGCTGCGGCTCATTGAAAAGCGTCGCGACGCCCGAAAATAATTCCGGCGAAAACCGCTTCAGATTCGAATTTAATTCGCGCGAAACAAAGGACGCGGCAAAACAACAACAGCAGCAACAAAAAAAAGAGGGAAAAGAACAACAGCGGTGGGAATGGAAGGAGACTGAGAATTAATTAAATTAACACCAGATTTTAATTGCTTTCCATTGCTCCGAGCGGAAAGTATTTTATCATTTATGCTTTTCAGTTGGAACAACAACAATAATGCTGTGTGAAAAAGGGGGAAAATAATAAATTGGTTTATCCGATGATTTCGTGTTTGTAGTTGTTCATCTTCTTTTGAACCCTTTTGTGCTTTTTTTTTATTTTAGGGAAGAGAGAAGAGCGAGAGAGGTGTCACCATTTCGCTTCATTAGTTCTCGCAAAGTGCGCTTAAATTAATATTAAATTACGTTATATCGGAAAAGTTTTAATTGCGTTTCCGAAAAGGGCCTCCTGTAACTCTCTCTATGTGTTTTACGCGAGGCGCCCTTAAAACTCTCCAGTTTTCGCCAGTTTCGTAACATTACGTTCAACATGGATACTCTATAATCAAGTAAAATCGCATTTCTTTTATAATTATGTTTTATGACTTTATCAATTAGATTTTTAATTAATTAAGTAATTACTTAGAAAACTTGGATTTGGCAGATTGATAAAGTAGCGAGATAATTTGTAAATTATTCAATAAATTCTATAAATGTAAATCAATTAATCAATAAATTTGGTAACTATGTAAACTAATTGGTATTATATAATAGTCTCTTAGTCAAACCAATTAGTATGTAGTGTAATTAACTTAATCTATCCTAGTCTAACTTCATCTGATTTACTTGACTTCATTAACCTAACCTATTATGACTTCAGCTGACATACTTGACATAACCGCAATTAACCTAATCTATTCTGAGTTTATTTGATGATGTAAGTAAAGGTTAGATCAATACTTCACCTGGCTTATTTGTCATAACCTCAATTAACCTAACCTAACTTAATCTGACAATACCTCGACAAATATTTTCTGACGTAACATTTCCTAACTAAATATGACTTCATTTTTATTTAGCTTACATAACATAATTTGCCTTCAATTGATGTAATATACTTTAACTTGAACTGACATTAGTTGTCACAACCTAACAGTCTTGATCAAGCCTAACGGATTATAATATAATCCAACGTTATCCAATTTCAGTTGATCTGAACTCACTTAACTTAATACGACTTTACATAATTTCATCTAACTTAAAAAGTAGATAGTATTGTAGCTGATTTATCGAATTCTGTCAAATATATCAAGAAAGGATATCGATAAATCAGTTATAGAAAATAAAAATATTTTGAGAATCAAATGGAAAACTGTGTGGAAAATTGACAATTTCATTTAACGGATGGACGAAAATAAATTGATCGACCATTTGTTTCCATTTGTCTGCAAAAATCCTCGCGCAATTTGACTTGTAATTGACCCGATTCGAAGAGTATCGAAAAGGAAACTAACCGCTCCAGACAATAGACGATAAATTGGGCCCGAAGCTATATAATTATAAGGGCAACGAAGAGGAAGTGAAAGACACAACAAAAAAAAGGAAGAAACAAGGAAAAAAGTTAAATCTTGTTAATGTTAACAATAAACGTCCTGGTTGGTAATATGTCTCGGCGCAACAAAAGGTTCTCACCATTGTGTGTAGGGACGGGAATTATGAGCGACCGAAAAGTTTCATTTCGCAGGGATAAGATGAAGAAGGGACGGCATTTCGCGGTGGGAAAATTGCACGGACACAAAAAGAAGAGAGAAAAGCTAAAGACCGAACAGATAAAAACCAAAAAAAAAGTAAAATAATAGAAGAGTTATAGTATAATGTAAGATTCACCTCATGCTATGATTATTATTATTTGATGTTGTTGCTTCCGTAATCGTCGCGTTTGCTGCACCTTCGTACATTACCATCAACCCTCACGACATCCGTATTCAAGTTATGGTTTTGGCTGTGAGCTCAGGATGGGAAATATCACGTTTGCAGACATTGTAAATTAGTTTTCGGGGGATTGTGTCTAGTTAATCGCTCGAGACGTGAGCAACCTGTGCCATCTAGATTTTCTCTTTCCCCTTTGAATTGCTAACCCGAAGGTGCGCCAACAGAAATCATAGCGATTTTAATTAACTTCGCAGTGGTTTTACGCTCGCAAAATTGCAGAAAATAAAGAGAGTGCAGCA